GGTGCGGACGTCTAACGCTCTTGGAGAAACAGGACAGTTTGTCCTTGGTGTCCATCGCAATGTGGCTGGACCTTATCTTGGTGCTATGGTTTCTGTGCTTCAGAGATCCATTGAGCTATGCTGGGTGGTGCTTTTTTGCACCTTCACAGCCACTCGTACCAGATTGGTCAATGGTTGGAGGCCAGACAAGCTCAGTCTCCTGGCCCTCCAGGTTGGGGATGGAATGAGGGTGGCTCCTTATTCATTAAAGCGGACTCCTGCTAATCCACTGCCAAACCCGCTGCCTAGCAGTCAGATTTTTGAACCAAACGCTTTGGATGAGAACCCTAATAGTTTTCCTGTGTAGGCCTGGACAACCTGACAGTGTCTTGCCCATGCAATATTATGAATCTTTCCTCTAACACTTTTCTGATGCTCTGGCCACCGCCAAGGATAATCAACGGTGCCCTATCTGCTGCATCAAGTAGGGTGGATAGGGGTTTAGATGCTACCGCTCAAGCCTTCCCGTCTTCTTATTCCCCGTCTTACGCTTTTTCACCCTTATGGTCCCTTTCGAACTTCACTTTTATCCTTCCCGTTTTCAAGCACCCAATTCTTGGCCTTCCCCCACCATGCTTTAATAACCGTTTATCTTCTAGTTTCAACTCACATGCAAACACGGAGCGTCACTCCTGCCTTGTCGACATGCCCATGTCTAACCAACCGGTCAAGTCTAGTTCATCGGTTTCTATTTGAAGCCCCCGATCCTCCCTCAGATTGGCATGTCTCAACGCGTGCACATTGTTACAACTCGGTCAACAGGCGGGACTTGTCCGAACATTAGAGGTCCTCTCCATCGATATCTGCTGCTTATCGGAGACCCGCCTGCAAGACTCGAGCTCTGTTCTCACTCTGCCATCCCCTTCAAGTAACCCTAGCGGTATTTTTTCATTGAGCCTATCCAGAGACGATACAGCTTCGAGTACCGACCAAACCGGTATTGGTATTGCCCTGAGTCCCCGGGCTGAAGCTGCTCTGGTTGATTGGATCCCAATGAGTAGCCGGATGTGTGCGGTCCGATTGGCTGCCTCCTTCAAAGCTTCGAAGTCGCGCGGGGCTATTAGATGTCTCATCGCTGCCTATCCGCCCACAAACTCTAGCGATGATTCGGTAACAAACGACTTATATTGCCAACCGAACGAACTCCTTCGCCAACGAAGAAGCACGGACACTGTAGTGCTTGCTGGGGATCTGAACGCTCAAGTTGGGAAATCGTCCACTGATGTGCTGCATCTGGGCGGCCAACATGGTGTAGGCTCCCGTAATGATAACGGTGATCGGTTACTTTATTTGTGTGAAGATGCTTTCTTACATCTTGCGAGCACTAACTTCCGACACAGCACCCGCTGGAGGGTGACATGGCGCCAACCAGCCTTGTAGGCAAATCGATCACATGACAATCAGTTACCGACGGAGACGCTGCGTCCCAAACTGTCGCTCAAGTTGGATCACATGCGTGGACACTGACCATGCACTTGTATGTGCTGATCTGCGGATGCGTTTCGGCGGACGTTCGCAGCGTCGTTATGAGCGCATTGACACCAGTCAACTGGCGAAACCAGCTGTTCTGAATGCGTATCGAAGTACGCTGGCGTTCAGGTTGAGCAAGCGCTCACTGAATACAGTTGAAGGTCACTGGTCGCAAGTTCACCAGACCTTACTAAAAGCAGCTAAATCATCATGTGATGAATCCAGCAGCCGAAATAGACATTCGGTCTCTTCGCAGTCTCTGGAACTTATCGATGCTCGCTGGCACATTCCGGCTGGAAGCGAACACAATGAGACTCGCAAAATGCTCCGGGCGAAACTCCGTGCTAGCCTGAAGAGAGACCGCGAATCCTGATGGTCTCAGCGTGCGTCAGAGATGGAAATGGCTGTTGCCCTTGGTAATCATCGGAAGTTGTTCCGTCTGACAGTGGGAACGGGCAGCAGGAGACCTGGTGTTAGTGAAACTATACGTGACGGGAGTGGATAGCCTATCCACATCTTGTCAAGACGTTTAAAACGTTGGGATGATTATTTTAAAAACAATTTAATCGACCTGAATTGTTAGATTCTTCACCGGTCAGTGTTCGCCCTCCCTTAGCGATCCCTTTGGATCCACCCTCTCGCTCAGAAGTCGAACGTGAGATCGGATTGTTGGAGTTGAATAAAGGCGCGGGACAAGATTTTCTTCATCCAGCCTTCGAATTCGGGGGATCTGGTCTTCTTGATGATTTGCATGAATTGCTAACGAAAGTGTGGGAGCAGGAAACTGACCCAACCGACTGGAGCCACTCCGTCAAACTCCCGATCTTCGAGGGAGGCTCACGATTATAGAGAAATTGGTCTCATCCCCATCGCTTTCAAACTGTCATCCTTCACAGACTGACTGGCGGTCGTGAAAGCCAGATTCGTAAGGAGCAAGCCGGGTTTCGGCTTGGTCGTGGTTGCATCTACCACATATTCACATTGCGTCAGTTGTTGGAACACCGTCACACATATTGGCGGCCCACCGTTGTCGTATTCCTCGACATCAAAGGTGCTTTCGATTCAGTGGATCGACGTGCCCTTTGGGACTGGCTGCTAAGGAAAGGTGTACCCGAGAATTATGTAATTGTTATGCGAGCGCTTTACGCACGTATCTCGGGCAGAGTGAGGGCTTACAGCAAGCTGTCGCCACCCTTCAATATCTCCAGCGATGTAAGTCAAGGATACTCGCTGTCACCTTTCCTCTTCAACTTCTCTGTTGACGAACTCATGGAAATCGCGTTCACAGGACACGACTTTGAATGTGTGGATTTGCTCCCAGGAGAACGACTTCTTGACTTATAGTATGCTGATGATATGGCCCTAATCTGTGACAGCTCACAAACGTGTCAAGCGGCACTGGACAGATTAGCACTAGCAGTCCGTCACTTCGGGCTTTTCTTCGCACCCTCGAAGTGCAAAGCGTTCCTCCAAGATTGGTCTGGAGCGCCTCCTACGCTGACCGTTGGTGGGGATCAGCTAGAAGTCGTTCGAAAATTCAACTACCTGGGAAGTTGTATCAGCGCCCTTGGGATTGAGGGTGAGATCACGAACCGTATAGCAAAAGCTCGGGGCGCTTTTGCTAACCTTCGCCACTTATGGCGCCGGCGCCACATCACTCTCGCCCTGAAGGGTAGGCTATATAATGCAGAGGTACGTTCGACTCTACTGTACGGTTGTGAAATCTGGCCCCTTAGCTCAGCCAACATAAAGAGGCTAGTTATGTTTGACCACCAGTGCCTTCGCAATTTAGCTCACATCTGGTGAGAACACCGCGTGAACAACGAGCGTGTTCGACGCCTCGTTTCCGGCACAGGAAAAGGAAGTGAACCGCTCAGCACCGTTATTTCACGCATCAGGCTCCGATGGCTCGGCCACGTGTTACACATGCCAGCCCACTGACTCCCGCGTCGTGCGTTGTTTGCGCGCCGTTGGTGTGGATGGAAGAAGAGGAGGGGTGGCCAAGCGATGACTTGGTCGAGAGGAATGAAGGCCCTCACTTCGAAGCTGGTCTCGTTTTGGAGCGTCTCGGCTCCTTGGTTAGGAACCGAAGAACGATGAACACATTTGGCTGGATACACTTGTAGACCTGGCTTGAAGTTGACCTCAGTGGCGTTCGTGTTGTGAGTTTCTTTGTCCTTCCCCCTCCTGTTTGCCCCCCCCCTCCTTCCATCCACGATCTCAATTATTAAGCATAATATGACTTTTTGCGGCACAATTGCCGGCTGTTAGCTCTCCGGAACGTTGTCCATCCGTTACCAGTGACTCAGCCGGTGTGCCTTTGTTTTACATTTTTTCTCTTCTTTTGTATTGCGGCCCTATAGCTGAGGTGTTTTCCACCTGCAGCTAACGTTTATGATACTAATGATGTCCTTGGTGTTGCCGATTGGCGTCCAGTGGGTGGTGTGGGAGATAGCTGCGGATCGTAAAACTCCAATGGTATCTCGGCTGCTGCAATCTAGGCAGGGAATTACATAGCGAAGGTTAGTAATTAGAGTTTGTAGGAGCGTATGAGAAAAAGGTGGTAAAGGAAGAAGGGATGCGCCAACAATAGCACGTTTTCGCTTATCCGCCCTGCTGTATGCCGCAGATAAGGCGACACTTGATAAGCTGCGCGATTGCAGTCGCAGGATGTGGTGGAAGTTTAATGAAATGGTCATCGTTATGCATGGGCCGAGATACTGTCGGGGCGACCAGATCTAGACAGGAGGATGATTCGTGTACTCAACCAAATGCTTTATCCCAAAAGCCTGTCCGCAAGGCAGCGGGGAGTTGGCTGCGACCCGATTTTGTCAATGGACGCCATCTAATTTCCAACCCCCAACCTGAAGGGCCAGGAGACTGAGTTTGTCTGTACTCTACTCATCGACCAACCTGGTATGATAGCTCACAAAGGGCCCGAGGACACCACCCAGTACCGCTCAATGGGTTGAAGTGGTATACGAACGGTCGTACTACGTTAATGTCCATTCTCATTACGACAGTTGGAAGTATTGCTGGTAACAGTGTTTGTTTATGGTTAATCTCCTGCAGCCCTCCACCCAGTAGTCTAATCCACTAGGAAAGGGATGTGTAGTTTTACTAGTTGGGCTCTCTATTAAGTCTAAGACGCATTAGGTACTTGGATGCAGGTCCGACTCCGAGGTGTGCCTCACAGGAATCTTCTCGTTATCGATTTCTTGTGACTTAGACGATTTCCCATAGAATGTGTCTGTTTTTCGACGGGATCGGATGGTATACTTACAGTTAGTCAACCACAATTGAACGCTCTTAGCGCATGCACTAGTTTCAACTTGCACACCCAAACATTATCTATTTCTGTTCTTCAGATGCCGGAACCGATCCAACCGCTGACCTCCGCAATACGAGCACGACTCCTCTTTCCACATGTCTTTAGTTTTATCTCCGAATACTTGTATACCCATTCTACACTTCTTTTGCCACATCTGCAGCTTTCCCCTGAGGATTTGGCTGTTCGGCTTACATTGGATGACTATGAGGTGTTCCGTGCCGTTCAGTCAACCGAATACATCGATGAGGTATTCGGACTGTCAACCGACATGCCATGTCCTGTCGGTTTTCCTACAGGTCGGTCGAATCTGGACCGTTTCACTGAACTGGTGAACAGGGAAGCCTATTGGGTCCCAACAGAAATCTGCAGTGAGCCCAATCTGAGTCGCCGTGTGGATATGCTGAAACGCTTTATCAAGGTACACCAATCTGTCACTTGAACAGCATACAGTTGGTAGTTCTGGCGCAACATTCAGTTGTCTTGCCGTTCTCTTTGTCACGTGATCTTTCACACATGACCCGTTGAGATTAATTTACATGTTTATGCTAATCACGCTTTCCTTGCTGCATATCTGTATAAGTAGCATCTACGTAATGCTCAACACCTGTGCTTTTGCGTGTGTGCGTGTGTGTGTGTGGACCACTTGGCACCTAAACGCCAGCAGGAATATTCCAGGTGTTTGTTGTCCCTTGTCACTTTATCACAGTTAGCTTTGTGATTTCTCGGCAATGTCATGCCTTCAAAAAGCGACTATCTTACTCACTATTCTTTTTGTTGTCCTTTTTACAACACCCGGCTGGTTCTTGGTCTAAAGAATCACAAGCTTGCCTTGTAATCCGAGTGCGCGTATTCGAACTTGCGTAGGAAACCAGGCGACCGTCGCAGTATCCATAGCCTACGCGCGACTGGAGTGGCTTGCGCGGTAGCGAAGCTTCGGTACTGCTTACCGGCGTATTGCTGATACCCTTACCTTTTGTCAGTACCCGATGCCCCATTTGTCGGATCCATTTCTTCAACTCCGGCTCTCACACTGGTATCCATTTGCATCGTAAAGACAAACAAGCTAACGGACAGTAGACATTACATCTGTGACAGCGCGGGTAATATCGTTAGTGGTTGTGATAATTCTCCCTGCCCGCATTGACAGCAACAACGCCATCGACCCTCATTCGCGATTTGCAGCAAATTATTTTGTCACCTGCGCTGCTCCACCTGTAAAACGCTTGAGGCTGTGCGAAGCCGATCGTGTGACATACAGCCGCGCTGGACCATAATTCATTCGCCAGCTCAGCCGCGTTTGCATATCACGCGGGTTGACGCCTACTGGTTTTTCCCTCCAATTCAACAACACACTACTGTCGTGACAGTGTGTGTACACCACGAACAGGAACCTAAGTTCTACGGTAGAGCATCGACACATTCGCAAACCAACACGGGGATCAGGAATCGTCACAGTGCAGTATACATCTCTTATGTCCACTTTACCCAAGAGCTCACAAAATTGCTCGAAATGTTGACGTGTTTGCCGTGCCACTGGATCCAACCATCACATTAGTATCCCGCGCTAGTCACCGCCGCTGTTGTTCCCTAACTCTTCACATGTAGTTACGCTCTCCACGCATTGCAATCCACTATTGTAGGCCCGAGTGTCGAGGTCTGTCAATTTTGCATTATTGGCTTGAGACCATTTTCCATACTTGTGGTGGGTGTACCTTTCCACGGTATGTATTGTATATATTTAACACTGGGCCGATAAACCACTGACAGAGTACCACAACTCATGTGTAAAAGCAGCAAAAAGGAGGAGGAGAGAAAACTGTCAACGAAAAGATCAGGAGGGTTCATGTGTTGCGTGAGCAGTGAGGTTCCCGGTTGCCCAGGCCGAGGAAGTGGGTTTACCTAAGGGACCCCACCCCGAGTCTTTGGTCTTAAAGACCTAACCCACAAGGTAGCGGAGCAATTCACGCAGGTTTATGAATACGAAGACCGTTCACAGCCTTTCCACGGAGCTGCACAGTAATAACGGGGGGGGGGTACAATGTGCCCCCATTGGGGTTACCAAAGGTCTATTTTTTAGAGCGCACAACAGGCTAGTATTGATCATATTCGATAAAGAGGTGCATCTTATCCAAGTGAGGCAGTGATGACTTTTTTTCTGAATTCACTTGTTCTCGCATTGGTATTGGCAGTAGGATGACCGTGTGTGCTCATGGGGAAAGTGAATGACCTCTACTTTGATTCCTTGAGTTCGCTATATCTCGATCTGCACCCCATTGATCTGTTGCGCACTACTCTACACTACTCACTTTCGTTTGCCCATTTCCGTTCTTAATTTAACCCATAGACGAGTGTACGTATTCATCTCTTCCTTTTTCCCCAGTTGGCCAAACTGTGCCGTGAACTGCGCAACTTCAACACCATGTTCTGCCTGTTAGTTGGGTTGCATCAGACCCCTGTGGAACGATTAAAACAGACGTGGGAGCGGTTACCAAACAAATATCACAAATTATACCGAGACCTCAGTGTAAGCTCTGTAAATTTTTACATCGTGTTCTCTTGCTATGTGTTCTCTCGCCCTGTATTTTCGCAAGTTTTCTTCTTTACTCTCTGCTCATGTCGAGGATCCGGCCTCTCTATGACTCCACCTTTGTTATTGATGCTTTCCTTCCCTCTAAATTGGAACACGTCGGATATCGTCGGTTACATTAGAACTTAACCACGCGACGGTCTCTTCCTGGTTCGGACTCCTTTTCGGTCACATCTGCCTCTTTCTAGAAGGCGGCAACACTTTCCAGATTCTATTCTCAATTTTGGGCAGCGCGCTGCCCACCACCTTGGGTCCGGGTAGCGACTGGGAAGCATTGTTGCTGTGTCCGGGTTAGAACTGAATTCGCCTTGGTACTTTGCGTACGCGTTTGCGTCCGGCTTATCCATGTATCACATTTTTCCATCAATGACCGATTCCTTATTTTCTTGACATCCACCACCCTGTATCTTTTCCACCATTGAACCATTTGAGCGTACCTCATTGGGATTACGTTTTAAGATTTCTTGTGCATACCAACCGTATATTTGCCACTAATCATCTGACTTCGACCCTTCGACCGGACATCAAGTCGATTCATCAGCTGTACGCTGCGCCCTGAATCTCTCGCTTCCGCTTTTACCCCGGATGCCATCCCCTATTAATGGTTTGCCGATGGGTTTGTTTGATTTGCGAGTTGCATTCCACTCCACACTTTTGTATTCCCTTATGAGATTAAAAACCGGTTTCCTGCATTTTTGATTGTCGTTCGCCTTATCCTACCCTATTTTCAACTCCTCGTTTTCCCTACAAATCCTTCCGTACCCAAAGAGAGAACCATGTGTAGTCTTTGGATTAGTCATATCTAGGTGGGTTAGACTTTACGTGACAAGTTTATTCGATTGGTTCCGCGCGTGAAATTACATTTCACATCCCTCCGGCGTAAGTTAGATCGTTATGACAACCAACTGACTTGTTTACTGTCCTGATCGCACATTTCTTGTGACACAGTCCGAGATAGACTTACTCATATGTCTCAGCTTTCACATGCTGTTGTTCAACTGGTACCGGTCTTCTCTTCCACTGATCGCATAACAATGATACTCCACACGTCTGTGTTCATGTGTGCGGTTGACATGTTCTATTCTACATCCTGTCTTATATCTTCTATTCACTACTTCTCTCATGCTCTCACTTCCATAGATTACTATATTCTGACGATACGCTCTCTTGAGAAATTGTGCGCACTCACTCCTCCATCGCATTACTGTTACTCACCTGCCAATCTGCTCCATAATGTGATTTTTCTACCCTTCATTCTCCCTATATCTGGAGCTCACTGTAACTCCATTTTGCACTTCTGAAGAGAAGAGAGACATCACCAGTACGCTGGTATGCATTACCACCGCTTCGCTGCCGCGGAACCACTACCGGCCGCACAAGGGTTGTGGATACTACGACGGTCAGTCTGCTCCTACGCACGCTCGAACCCGCGCTGTCAGCTTGCAAGACAAACACTCACTACCTTTGGGCTATGGGCCGACACTTCTATCATACTAGGATTGTTTTCCATCGCCTATTACTTGATAGAGGTAGGAGTTGTTTCCCGAAAATCCTGAGGATCACATTTAGTTCAGGCATCCATGCCCGTGTGGAAGATTGTGTTCCTTTCGTCACTTACTCTCCACTTTCGCAACAGAATTGTTGCGCGGTATCGTAGTAGGTCCCACACTTAGGTCCGATGGTTAACCCGGTATAGGTCATACGTTACGTTTAGCTTGTGCTACAGTATCTGGCTACGTTGGATTGTGCCCTCATCTGGTGACGTTGATCTGCTTGGGGTCCTCCTCGAAAGGCCGCAAACTCTGCTTCCTCCGGGTCTAGTGATAACAGTGCCGGCACATGGTTGCTCACCTCAGTCTGCGTTCGTGTTTGTAAAGGCAGAAAATTGAGGTCCTCATCAGGCTGACCAATACGTGTGCATATGCTGTGTAAATTTCCCCGCTAATGCTTGTTGTCTTCTTGTGTCCATCGACGACCTAATGCCGCGGACCTCTTTTACATCTTGTCTGCTCTCTTCGTAGACACGGGTCACCTCAGTGGTCACAACTCCGCTGTGTTATTTGCGATCGACAGCGCCCTCATCTCATAAGTGGGTTAAAATGAGAAGTATAGCTTTTTACCTATTTGTCACATGTGCTGTTAGCCTTGCGGCGGAACTCCATACCTCCCTTTCATAAATACTTCTCTTTGTTCGACCATGCGAAGGACCAAACAACACAGAATATTCTGTGCAAATGGTTGATTGGGAGTTGGTGGCATCCGTTTCTGGCTTTATCTGTTATCGCAATGGCCATAATATGCTTGCACCTACGGAAACACTATCGGCGGCTTGCGCTACACCACCCAGAGCTCTCTCACACACATCCCATATAAGTTCAGGAAACTTGTTAATGTGTGTCCCTGCAATCTCGGAACAACGTGCATTTACTGTTCGCTTTTTCTCCAACAAGTCCGGGTGTGTGACGCTATCTGAAAATGAAGCATTAACAGCTTAGCTCCAATGCTTCGGTGATTTACCGACCATTCCAGCGATTTTGCATCTTGCACTTTAACTCGCTCATAGTCCATTTCTCTTTCATCGTATGCTACCTCCACTGTATCGACCGTGTTCGAGAAGAAAGCGAAATTTTTTAATAGTGAGCCAACCGGCTGAGGTAGCGCATTGTGGCTAGTGAATGCATGTACAGGCTTGTTTAGACAACAAACTGCCATTTGTCGCGTTTCGCTCTGACCGTTAGTTGGCGACCTACAGCCATCGAAGTGAGCGGTTGCATAAGCTGCTTGCCGGATTATTGTCCGAGTACCAATGAAAGACCATGATGAATAACGTGTGTGTGTGTGTGTTACATTTTGTTACAAACTAGGAATAACTTCTACAGACATTTCAGTTGCTTAGTCAAGCATACGAGGAGGACTGTAGGAGTCGCATGCAGGGCTATAAGTGGTTTAAGCCTTTTGAACCCTAAAAGATGTCATTCGGTGAGGATCCCAAGTCTGGACGGCCTTCCACATCAACAGACCATGACCATGCCGGAAATTCTTGTCTAACTTTTCGATAAGTTGGTGATGATATGGGCACCAATGTAGGATCATCACGTCAACTTTTGGTTAAGCAACTTGTGGTGTATAGTGTTTGTGCAAAAATCGTTCCCCGTGTGCTTTCTTACGTGCAGAAACAGAATCGTGTTGAACTCATCAACAGCAGTACATCAGCCATTTGATCTGACGCTTCGCTGTCATACAACAATGGTGACCTACGGAACGAAAACTAATAAGTGGGTGTTAAGGGGGACTTACCGGAAAACCTTAATTGCTCCAATCAAAAATTCAGGTTCAGGGCGCCTACATCTTGTCAACAGCATACCGTCACGAGCAGCTGGTTACCGTGCAAAGATAAGGCGGCGTCGGCGAAACAGCTTTCTTATGGTTTTCACTGCCCCGCGTCATAATCAGTCATTACCCCGCAGATAACTCAGCATCGAACACACCCTAAACAGGCAGTCCGACTATGAGACGGCAACAGACGCGCCACTGGTGTTGACAGAGCGCCATGTCCTGTAGACTCCCTAGTCAAACACAAGGCGACTCACGTGGACTGCAGCCTGGAAGGCACTAAGTTTGGGTGTTAGTGACTTCATTTCATGCTGCCAAGTCTACTTCTGTACACGTCGAGTTTTGCGCCACCCTACATCTGGCAGACAAAACAAGGCCCTCCTAGGCAAAAGGTGACCAGGCATACGTAGTACGTGCCCGAGCCAGCGCAGCTTATTCAATGCTATCTGTTCTTTTAAGGGACTGTCTTGGTTATCACTGCCTAATACTCGCCTACGCACATCATCGTTGCATACAAGCCGGTGCCATCCGACACCAGCAATGCTCCGCAGACAGCGACGATCGAAATCTTGAAGCCGCATCAGACCGAAGGGACCAATTTTCACTCCCATAGAATAGGATGGCCCTCATTGTGGCCTTGTGAACATGGTCTTTCAGACGGAGGGAAACTCCTTTCTGTCGCCAAAGATGTCGCAGAGTCAGTAAGACATTTCTGGCTTTTACAATGCGGGAACTGACTTCAGTGTCTATGCACCCATCGTTGCTGATGCACTTGCCTAGGTAAGTGAATCGATCAACTACCTCGTTTTCATGGGTCAAGGGGTCATCAAGTGGCTGGTGGTTCTGCAGCAACACTTTGCACTCTGAAGGTGCGAAACGTATATCAAATAATGGGACCACGCTAGGTATGCTATTCATGTGTGATTGTACCGTCGCAACATCGTTAGACAGCAAGACGATATCATCCATATAATCAAGATCTGAAATCATAAGATCAACTAACTTTTCACCAGGCAGGACCTCAATGCCATCATCGTGAGACATCGTTAGGGAACACTACATCATGGAGTCCATGACAAAATGGAACAAAAATGGGGAAATCAGACGAACTTGACGAACGCCACTTGTTGCCGGGAAGCTATTCGACAGGTCACTGTAGACCCTGACACGGCCTGTAGTTGTAAGTAGCAGAGAGATTTATTGGGTTTTTGTGTAGATTGGTCGCATTTAGACTCAGGAAGACGGGCACCACACATCCAGGAAAACGCTAGACGGCCGTATCGACCTATTGGGACTCGTCAATAGCGCACACCCGCCGAATCCTTCCGGATTTGAACCCACGACCTTACTCTTGCGAGCCAGCGATTTATGTCACTGAGCCATGGGCGACGGCAGCGGACCGCCATGACTGATATCTAGCTGATATCTAGCAATGTCATTAGGACAAGGGGGCGAAAGTTTGGCACGTAGTGCATCCTGGTAGTCTTGGCTGACCGAGGGCTGGGATAACTTTTCCGTTGCCAATCGGGGAGACGCTTGGTGCGCTTTCCGGCAATGTTCATGGCAAAACGACAGCGTGCCAACGCATGATCAGAGTCGCGTTGAAGTTAAGCATAAACCGCTTCCCACTGTCAGTGAGAATGAAAACTTCTTTAAGAACATTATAACAGGCGATGAGAGGTTAGTTTATTACTATGCTATGGAAACGACGGTGCAGTTGTCGGATTGGATGGGGAACGGGTCTCGTCCAAAAAGTACACATGAGTCGGTTGTAGATCAAGGTGATGTCGGTTGTGTTCTTTCACTGTAAACTCATTGTGCGTCAGGATTTTGTACTACATGGTCAAATGGTAAACACGGAAATCTACCAGAGAATTCTGACACGTTTGTGAGATGCTGTGGGTAGGAAGAGGCTTGAACGGTGGGAAAAGCAGACTTGGATGTGGCGTTATGACAACGTGCCGTCTCACATATCCCTCATTATCCGCAGCTATCTAGCGAAACATGCTCCCGTTGTGCCTCGTCCACCGTATTCTCCGGACCTGGCTCCGGCAGACTTTTTCCTCTTTCACAAACTTATAACCATGCTGAAAGGACGTCACTTCCTAACCATAGAGGAAATTCAGGACAAGGCAACAGAAAACCTACCCGGCATCCTCGAAAGTGCGTTACAGGGGGCTTTCCTAAAATAGAAGCACCGTTGTGAATGGTATAATGCTAGTAGAGGGACTGCTTTGAGGCGGTATTTCTTAAAATGTTGTACTGTGAGTGACAACAATGTTAGTTCTCTTTTTGAACACACCTCGTATTTGCACCCACGTCGTCAGGAGAGCTTTCCGCCCACCGATGATTGCCGAATCCGTGGCGAAACTTTGGGTGGTCCATCTCCACCCTCTTATGCTTGACATCGGAGGGCGTGCGTTCTCTGCTAATCCAACTTCTCCGTTTGCTGTCTATAACCGGTGAGCAGGATGCTGGCATAAGCTACTTAACGAATCGGTCCGCCGGGGGCCAACTAGTTTATCACATTCGAGTCCAGAGCATGTTTTGTGCGCTGTAGAGAAGCGAATATGCAGCTGTAATAAATACACTTTGGCAACGCCGAAACACATCGCAGTCACAGAGTAATTAGCGGTTCGATAGAATTCACTGTTATTAGCCCATTTTTGAGTCGTTTCATGTACACCAAATAGTGATGTCAAGAAGACAACTCTCAACATTGTTCTTTGCTTGACTATCTTCGCCACGCGCTCAGTTGACTCTCGGTTGGGTAGGCGATTCGGATCTGTTAGTAACATAAATTCAGGTTTTCATGCATGCTATAGTATGCTTGGTCACATTGACGTTGATGAATTTCGACTATTGAATTCCGCACTGGTATGCCGCGCAATTTGCTACAGAGCCACACGCTTAGTGTGGCATACTGCGAGCGGGAACGGAAGTGCATCTCACATGCGAAAGATCTGAGTATAGCCCCTCCCGCTTGACTTTTACCAGTCCATCACTTACGCGGTGTGATCGTAGTGCGTTGCATTTCATCATCACCCCTAAATTTATTGGAGATGCAAAAACACACTTACCTTCATCGCGGATGTGAATTTGGGGACAGCAACTGTTAATTTTTCCGTTTATGCACGATTAGGGAAGAATTGTTTCTTTTGAAAGCATCCACCTACAATGAATAGATTGTGAGCTCCTCCAAACACCTCTCTCGGTCGCTGCAGCTGGACACTCAACAAACATGATGTTATACGTACACTTTATTGGGGCTGTATATAGATAGAATGCGAATGATGTTGAGGTGATTGCCTGCAGAACATTGAAACTTACGAACAACGATGAAAATTTCGTCGTTAAGCAACATGAGAAGTTGGATTACATTTGCAACCTAATCGTCCAACAGGAAGACAAAATCTGCTTTAATACCAAGATCTGTTGGTATTCCCGGTCATCACAGCCAAAATGGTCGCTTTCTCTGAAGGAACCCATTTCCGCGTGCTTGCCTCTGTCGTCCAACGGCAATCTCACTAGACACACATAATGTGTGGGTACTTCTTACTTGGGTCTTTGACTAGTACATGTCAATTTACTTGAAGTTTGTGAACGTATCTGAGCCATCTTTTCTTGAAAAGTCATATTCTTCAAGACCTTCAGAGTTTCATTCAGGAAGCCTGCTGTTGGCCAATATTAACATCACTCTTTAGTACCGAGCTGCTGCTAGAACTTACTCGACAAAGATGTGTTGTTGGATGCGTGGCATGCAGAACACATTGTCACACCCCTTGCGAAGGGCGGGATGATATTTCACCAGGGCGTCTTGGCTTACAGGACCGGAGCTGGATTACACTAATGGATACCACATCGCGGGGATTGGAGGCCGAGTTTCGCGACCCGATAGTTGCGCAATGGACAAGTTGATGAATTGATACTTTTTTGCTTAATTGGGGTTATTGTTCCTTCCTTTGGTGATCGTGTAGAAAAGACAGATACTTCCGCGTATTTGTTCCATTAACCCGATGTCCCGACAGTTTTTGTTTGAATATGCACATTGTTCAGACCATGCTGTTCACTCCTGCTATAGGTTGGAATATTTCCTAATGCACGGACTTCACTTTTAGGGTTTTTTCTTGAATTTGTCCAATTCCTCGAACTAGAGAGAGCAAATTTCTCCGTACCGTTTTAAAACTTACTAATGAGTAGCAGATAGTATTAGCAGAAATTCAAATAGATGTGCATTTTCGTCACAGTGGTTAGACTTATTCAATTGACGATTTAGCCCGTATGTTCCGTGCCTTGCTATGGATAACAGGGGATTGCCTCACTTGTGGCACTAAGACCCACCAAATGGCGTGCGATTGCAATCGGAATGCAGTTTAGACTTAGTAACGGATACAGCTTGTTGTAACCTACTCGACTTGCACCACTTGATACTCGAAACTAAGGTTCGATTCTTCAGGACTGTCCTGAAGGAATGAGTAGCTGATCGAATTCAGCGACTAGTCCCTCAAAGTTTCTACCTCACAGTGTGGAGACGAACATGGACCCCGCACGAATATCTGCAACCAAGAGAGAAGGAACAAAGCGGAAGCACTTTTACAGGCTTTAGTTGTTGGTAGCATACGGTTAAGTTTGTTATCAGAAGGTAACAGTCAATGACTCAGTCACCACCGGTACTGGTATGCGAAGGTATTTTGCAGGGTGACGTTATTGTCACCGATAACAGTCTCTTTGAGAGAATCACACAGCGGATGATCTGGCAATAGTATCTGGTGAGAAAACGGAAATAATTTCTGTCTGATAGTGTTAACACTAATACCGTTTGGAGGTTGGAAAAATGCATTCTACGCCAAGTTTTTTTTGTGACCACGAGTTCTCCACCACAAAACTGCAACCGAATTTTTGTTATGGTAGCTGAGTTCATAATTTTTGTGGCCTAAGTATGACGCTGTTGATGAGCACAGTTGCATCGAACTCACTGGCTAGGATGCACAGGGGGTGGTGGGTTTTTCCAAAGCTGCAGTTGTAAATGCATCCGGATGGTTGTCAAAGTCGGAATTGTAGTCCACGAGAAAAACGTAGTTTGCAAACAGAATCGATCCTTTTCGTTTCAAGTATCTGGATCTAACTCCGCCCCGTTAATGTCACTGGCTATGTCGCAATCTAACAAAACGTACTATACGTCGACAGATACCTCGAACTGCCCATAAAGATGATCACGTTTCCACATCACGTCACTCCGAAGGTGATACTATCAAGCAATCTCAACAAACGCAACTCACTCATCTGCCCACCGACGACAAATCGGGATTGTAGAAATGCTCAAATTAGGCCATTTGAATGCTTGTGCAGGTTACTCTTCCAGCAGCTGACACTTCCACTCCCATGTCCGCTTCTTCTGCGGTGGACTTCGCGTTGGCTCATCTACGGATATAGTGACTGACATGCTTGGGTCATTTTTCACCAAGTAACTAGAACGTCTTCAGCATATAGAGCCTCGTGATACATTGTCTTGCTAGCAGAGGTGAGCACCTCATTGTTCTGATTGGTGGGGTCATTTTGATGCGCTCATTGAGTGAATGCATTGCGACGCGCAATCTCAGTGTGAACCGTGATTCGTTTTGAAGTGATCCTAGACCAATTCGAACGCTGATAAACCCGATGGATATAGGGTACTTTTGGGCGGGCAACGCTGCATCTCCATCAACTTCATCTCCCTGTTTATTTACTGCCTGGCTCACCTACACATTGGATATCAGTGCACCGATCAATGTGCTTTGTTTCAAGTCTATTCATGCAAGTGACGTCTAGCTTTCAGCGAAGTAGCCACACTTCGTGGTGTTCTTTCCCATCTTTGTGATTCCATACGTTTAATCTTGTCACTACCCGTCACTGTTTTTACTTTTACTCCGTTTAGATGGTACTGGATACATCTAGGAACTTTTTCCAATATCGCAACCTGCTCACTGCCAATGACGCGTCGGCTCCGATGCTCCCTTATCTTCCTCTGGTGCTCAAGGATTTGACATTCATCCATTTGGGTAATCCATCCCAGACCGCCGATGGGCTGATCAACTTTGTTAAGCTGCGAATGCTGGCGAAGGAAGTGAGTTGACTTGGAATGCTTATATTTTCTTGTGCGATGCCCACTCCAACTTCTCACTCCCATTGACTAAGACGCCTCAGAAATTAAAAAAAACATACCTTCCGTCCTGCGTTCACGGAGAATAGGGGGTTACTCGTACATCAGTGTTTCAGGGTTCTGCTCTGCCGAGGAGATTCATTGGTTTTCCTTGATGGAATTCGACGTGAAGGAATCCGATGCTACGTTACATGTTCGTTTGGCTCCGTACTTGAAGTACTGTAAACAACCGCAACCCTTTGATCGAATGCACTTCAGGACACTTGTTACGCAAACTAGACCAACGTCCGTAGAATATTTATGTCGCCGTTCCACCATTATATATCAAGTGTCTGATAGTTGCCATTGCCATTGGTTAATGGTCGCAGCCTAACTGGACTCCAGGTGTCATCATACCACATGTTAGCCAGAAGTGAGAAACGCTTCAGCTATTATGCCACCGAGTGAATGAACACTATTTCTTGTAGGATGGACGAAGTTCTCCACCGTGGCTGTCTGTACTTCGTTTGGAGTGAATTCCAACCCATAATGTTCGCGGCAAGCGCCCCCAGATCACGACGCACGTCATATTTTCACAACGCAAGTCACTGAGGTGACAAACAGTACTCGCTGGGTGGTTCCGATGCGGTCTACGTAGCTGCGAACGGGAATTGCGGTGAGTGAGGATGGGCGCTAGATACGAGAGAACTAGGAGACTTCCAGCAGTGTGGTTGGCGAAGGTTTTGGTTGTGATGCTTACGGAAAGAATGTTTTGTTGCCACCACGGAACTTTTGTGGTCAGGCCAATCCTCTTGTTGCCGTGGCGTGGCAAACGGTGAGCGAATACTTCAGATACACTTTTCGGGCAGATTAGTGTACCTGAGTTGTTGGACATTTTCGGCCGTGTGTGTGCAGAAAAAGGTGTTGATTTGCATTGTGATGACAGTCCGCGGGCCCTGTTCGTATGTGCGCGTGGGATGTGTGTGTCCAGCCTCTGTCCCATCTGTAGTGCACAAATGCTGTCGTAGATTGTGCGATGTGTTACTCTTTGACAGAAATACCAGTGTGTGTACCAAACTGCGTAAGATGCATACCACATAAAACTATCCAGTGAAGTGGCAACGAAAATGACGATTTTAAAATTGGTATTTGCTTTTCTACTATTGAATTGCGTTTGTTTAATGCGGCTTTGCCATTGTGATGAACTTGTGCCAATAGGCAAGCTGCTTTGCACTGAGCAGCGTGGATGGGTCAATGATGTGCGCACCCGTGCCGTTGTCTTCGCTGCTCGAAGCACACGAGCCTATTAGGTCAGACATTTCCTACAAACGGTTGTGCAGTTCAGTCATCAAAGGATCTAGTCAATCCATGTTGGGTGTTATATACCCGAACGACCCATTTTCAGCATTTTACACCATCCGCTGTGTATTTTGTGCGGCTTCCGGCCAGTGGTAGAATTTCTGCGTTTTGAATTGGCAGGAGTTTCCCTCTTGTGTCCACATGCTCTACCTCTTATCCACTGTGTTAACATAATTCAGTCGCCAGCAGATTTACATGATTTCATCTGTTTGCTAGTATTGTCGCAACAGTTCATTCATTCCGTCCGTTCTGCTCGATGACAGTCGGTATACGGCTACTTAAGTTCCATACCGCTGTGTCATTCGTCAGCGCTCTCGGGCTTCCTCATCACTTGTACGCGCTTGTGCTGCTCAACGTTGTAGGTTTGTACACATATTTGACTCGTTTCTGATCTGAGTATCTTCCTCCTGACATACAAGATATTCTCTTCAAAATCTTACTGTTTGGTCTTTATCATTACCTAGTGTCTATTTTCCCAGTAAGATTGTGTCGGAATTCTTCCACGATCTCGCTGGATACGCGTCTGGTGAACGTGCTATTGCAGTTAGTGCAGAAGCACTGTTGGACGCGGCACCTTTATCGTCACGTGCATTCTTGTTTTGCGGCCTCTGTGTCTCCCGCACAGTTTTTACTCTGTCCCATTTGTTTTCTTGTCATTTCTTTTATGCATTCCACATCCTACTATTTCTCGTTTCTTTTCTCTACAATTTCGTCGTACGCCACTATTAGCGCCTTTGCATGGTGAACACACCGACTTGCTTCAGGTGTGTATTTGCTTTGGGTACGCTCACTGCACTCATTAATGAACATCCTATCTTCACTATTCTTTTCCCTGATTCCGTCACTGTTGTCTCCGCCCTACTTTTCCTTTCGGTCTGGAATTAGTTTCCGTCTCTATCTCCGCATAGTACCCACTGCTAGACCATCCCAGACTTGTTCCTTATTTTTTCATGAATAAACCTGTGGTATCTACGTATTTTCAATAATCATCCCTTCAGATTCGAGCCGTGTGTCGAATGTGCAACGTAGACTACGATGTTCAGTCAACACACCGTCTGCTCCGTCGGTCTATCGCAGGTGGCCGCACACTGAGTTGGGCTGTTACTGGTCCTAAAGGATATACTTCGGGGCCTAAGCCTCGCAGCTCATTGGACGATTGCGGCGACGATGACCAACCGAATGCCCGGAACCCTGTAGCCTCTCGTTCTTCGAATGCGAGTGCTGCCAACACAGGAGGTATGTTTTCCTGGATGCGCTACCTACTGTTGCATATTATTATTGTTACTGTTACTTATTTCTTGCAACGTTCCTCTTCCTTATTGTCCCTAAATCTCATTTCTACTAACGTTGATCCACTGAACTGCCTCACGCTGCTTTTCTTTCCACCTATCAGAGAGGTTTTTCGTCCGACTATCGAGTGGTTTTCGGTAGAAAACAAATAAGTAAATTGTATATTCCTCGACGACACGAGAACGTATTCCCTAGGAGGAACAGATCAGAAATTATTGCAATTATTTCCTGTCATCGCATAATTGGTTAAATAGGCATGAACACAAATTTTACCTTTATGTGAGTAACACAAAGTAATCCAGATTATTCGCTGGTTTTTTGAGCTGTCACTGACTCCGTGGCATAGATTGTATATTCTCGTTTTTAGCGAGACACACCTGTAACGGCATTTTCGAGTAAATGGAAGCATTTTCTTGTACATCGATCACGAATGATCGAAAATATACAACTGTAAGGCAAAGCGATTTTCCATTTTGACAGGGCATAAATGTTCGTTGTTTTCCAGTGTGTCATCTGATGCTGCACAGGGTATCTTCATCGGGATTGATAGACCACTTGAGAATATAATTATGAAACGATAGATGATTTTGGGTTAATAGGAACATGGGTTCAACGCAAGTATAATGAATGTATGCATAAATTTTCTTTAAGCACAGTGTGTAGGTTGCTTTGCTCATGGCTATTCAGCAGTATCGGATACTGGTTGTGGCAAAAGAGGCGCCTAGCAACTGGAAATGTTAGGATAGACTGCAATATGGGTTATAGTGATATCGACAGTAAAGACGGAGAATGTAGATGTGTGTTCAGTTGACTTCCTTCCTGGGTACACACTTGTTAGTGATGACCTTGGCGTAGGCATCTCCATGTAAGTAGATGAAAGAAGATGAAGATCGTGGATGTAGAGGCCTTCACACAACAATATTCACTCGCTATTGTGACTGTTTTCTGGCTTCTATGAATCTCAGGCCTTGTTTACATGCTTGGCTATTTGATATGCGTCATCCCGATGGCTTGCTCACGTTTTGCACTGTCAAATATTTGCTGGTCCTTGCGCGAAATTCGCGCTCTGAATTGCAAGCACGTATCTCGGATGGTAATTTGTTCCGGATTCTGGTATACGTGTTAAAGAAAAAGTTTGAGGATCTGGGGATCTTCGACCTGCATTCAACTGCAGAATTCTCCTTGTTTCGTGTATTATTTAATGGTGGTTGTGTTATTACCATAGGCTTGGAAACGCATTTTCTTATGCAGGATATATGATTAGGTTATGCTCAATGCGCCTGAACCAGAGGGGATCAAATTTGAGTTACTCACGTCGTTGGAACTCTTCTAATTTCAATGAGGTACCCAATAAGCGCTTTGTGAATATCCGTTATACATTTTCTGGTACATTGCGGTCTCATTTGTTTGTGCTGTTGTACATCTTTGAGCAGTATTCCAAAATGGGAGTTTACTTGATGAATATGCGCAGAGTATAGCTTCGTTTACTTTGAAAGCTCTAATTAACATTCCAATGCTTTGTCTGGTCTTTACAGTGACGTAGGGTACTTGTTCGGGGAAGTTGAGCGAACATGAGTATCTCAGTCCCAGGTCACGAGCAGTATGGCAAATATTAATTTGCTTAAACTGCTAGATGTTATGTCGCATTTGTAAAACAACGTAACAGTTATCTGTCGTAAATAACATTCTTCACGCTGAGCACCAGGTTTCGAGCTCGTGGGAGGTCGCGCTAGATCATATTGGTTGCTTCGTTTCTGGTAGCAAGATGCAAAGTACAGCGAACTTTGATATCGTCGGCAAACACGTATGGCGTTCCGAATTTCATTGTGTCAAATGTGTATCGTCAACATACGTCAAGAACAGTAGAGGGTCAAGAACATTGTTCTGTATTGCTCCACCTGCGACTGCTGTTGGTTCCGATTTGTGTTCACGGATCTGTACCATCTTCGTTCAATTTGTAAGATACGCTTTGAATCACGAAAGCAGGGATTCCCCGATTCCATACAGCATCAATTTGGATGTTAATTTTCCCGTGTGGTACTCAAGCAAAAGCTTTGGACAGAAATGTGAGGCAGTTCGGTGATGTACAAATTCAACTTGGCACTTTATGCGGGAACGAGCACTCAGGAAGCCGTGCTTAGAGTCGTTGACTAACCTTAGTAACGGTAAAACGTCGACCCTTGTAGCTTTTACGTGTCGCTCCATCGTTTTTGATAGGATGGATATATGATTTACTGTGCGATAACACTTTGTTTCGTACAGTGAGCCTGATTTGTGTCTCGGTATGACAATGGCTTACTTCCACTGTGCTGGTGCGGTGCCATAGTTTATAGATATGGTGAACATATTTAATAGCAGCGTGGATATGTCGGCACCCCCGAGTTTGATAAGTGCAGGAGGTACATTATCTGGTCCGCTGAAATAGGATAGTTTTGTGTATTTTATAAGTTTGTGTGCGCCGCCGTGTTCAAACTTGACATGGGTAAGTTGATCAAATGTGGACAGTGGTATGTCCAGTCGTGTAGGGTTATCACCCACGTTAAAGGCGACTCAGAAGTACTGACTAATGATTTCCCTGGTGTGGGTTGGGTCAATTGTTATGTGGTTATCTGCCGTATCTAGTGAGATCGTGTCTTGACTACCTTTGATATTCCTATACTTTAAAATGTTGACTAGATCGCGAATTTTATGCTGGCTACAGAGGGCTCTTCTTTCATCAGCAATCTCTTCGTTATGACATGCCAGTTGTAGAGCTTTTGGTGTTGTGTCTAGAAGAATAAGTCATTTGTTTTACGATATTCCGTTAGCAACTTTTTGAGCTTTGTGATTGTTTCACGAGATATATGCGTTTTCTTACTGTGGCATAAGTGTCGATGCACAGTGTGATCGAGTGCATCCATGTAGCTATAAATGTTATTGTTTAGAACATCTACAGCAGTTTGGGAATCTTCCGTAATGAGAACTCGGTCCCATCGAACAGACCTCATTAACTTGGCAAACAGCCCCCAGTCGGCGATATGTAATCGAGATTTGCACACGGCCGATGTCTGGTATCGTGTGGGATTACTGAATGAAAATGATACCACTATGTGATCACTACCAGGAAAGTGCTCAGGAACGTCGGTGGATGCCGATAATATGCCTTTGGTGAATATTAGATCTAAGATATGAATCTTTCCAGCTAGAGATCTTACATGTTGTATACATCCGTATTTATGTAGAGAAGAGACCGGATTCGTGTATTTGGCAAGTATATGTCTTGAGATCCACGCTAAATCCGGCATGTTGAAATCCCCACCTGTTATCTTGTACTTAGCCCATTGGTCTGCTATATGAATGAACACATCTCCACAGACAAATGACGAATGTCCGGGCCTGAAATAACATGGAACAAAAGAGGTTGTGGACTGAAAAGTTATATACAGTCCTTTATTTAACGCGGATACGTGTTGTTCATAACTGTCAGGCATCGTCGATGCCATTCTCGAATACGGTATCCAGGAGTTGGGATGTCCCAAACTCTATAACGCGTTTTGTACGGTTAACTGCCCATTATCCGCAAGCTTAAATTTGCGCAGCCTACAACGTTCTGGTTTCTCTTATCAGTATGTTCCAAGTTTTGGGTAGTAGGTTAGGAAGAAACGTTCTCTCTTTCTCTTAGTGAGCTGAAATTCAGGATTGTACCTTTTGACTCCTTGTTTGTATCGAGTGTTTAGTGTTCAATGATATGTGAACACGGTTATCAGGGATGATCCTGTGAAGAAAACACAGGTTCAGCTTCATTCTCCGAAGCCAGACTGGGTCAACTTCGAGGTTATCGCAACGCTCTCTGTATGTCATCTTTGAGGAATAACCGCATAGCATTTTCGTGAAGCGTCGCTAATCCCTCTCAATAGCGTGCTGGTCAGGCTCTTGCACATTCGATTGAAAGCAATGAACAATCTTCCATACTCGGTAATACACATGCTTCGTAAAGCCAGATTCGAGATTCGGTGAGATAAAAATAGGGAAATATGTATGGTAGGAGTTGATTGCTTGAGCAAAGCTGACCAATGGGTGTTGGACAAGCCAGAGGATTAGCAACCGTCGTCTACCCAAATCGATCGCGCATGGACGAGACAGAGTCAAGACCAGCTGAACCTAGAAAAGACCAGATACATCTGAGTCAAGAGCAACTACGAAGCGGATTGGCTGGAACAACCTCGAGCGGGCGAGATATGTGCACTAGACAGAGAGACAAAGGAGAGCTGATGTGTTCGAGATACTACGAAGCGATCAAAGCCGGACGGGGCACAAGTCAATTCCAGCGAGCAGGACGTGCGGCCCAATGAACACACAAACCGCGGAAAACCCAAACAACGGGTAGTAACCAATGCGCGACGGCTCAATTAAAGAGCGTCCACCGGTTACGCGCAGTATAAACGATACCTTGCTTTACGAATGACAGATTTTACTCGTTGCCCAAACTTTCTCTTGACTTTCGGTGGGCTACTTTACAATATGTATCCGATGGTATTCGATACTTGCGGATCACAATGTTCGGAAAAGTTAGACATAGCAGAATATCTCATGCCCAAGTCGCGGAATGCCTTGCATTGCGAGTTGTATGTGCTTTACAATAATCGACTGTCTGCCGGTACTTGGCATTGGTACGACAGAATATTACACTTCTCCGCGGCAAATAACGTGCGCCACAGTTTGCAACAGAATTCAGATGCAGAATGTAGATACGTCATCTTGAATCAGCCGTAAGACTTCCTGAGTATTTACACTTTCATGTAAGTAGACGACTTTAATATTGTCAGCACACAGAAAAACAGCGCATGCCTAGTTCAATGGAATTCATTGTTTACATAGAACATAAAAGGGAGTGATCGCATAACACTTCCTTGAACTACTCCACTGGGAACAGCTTTCGATTTAGAGAAATAGTCGTTAATGAGCACCACCTGCTGTCTACCAACTAAATGTGAAGTCAACCAAAAGGACATCGGCCCTCTAATGTTTGTTGGCTTCAAAGTTTTGGGTAACCTCAGATGAGGCATTCTATCAAGGACTTTTCACATGTCCCGGGGGCAGGACTGTAACATTGTTTCCGTTTGGCACCTGTTATGTGGTTTCATAACTTCGTCTGACGTTGCGCAGGGACGACCTTGCCACATACCGTGTTATGACTTTCTGCTGATATTTCCCTTATTCAAGGAGACAAGCAATCCATCTTTCGCTATCCATTACTCTGGATCTGAAAGGTCTGTGATTGATGGGGCGAGAATATTTTTAACCTCATGAGAGGCTCCATTTTTGTGCCGCGGGATAACAACAGAAGTCTTCTGTTGTGTAAGAGTTACCCCATTAGTAAAAGTGAGCGGAACGCTAGTAATCAAAAATGGAGCCAAGTCGGCCCCACCACTTCTTTATAACCCCTTGTTACGCGGTATCACTCTCTCCGTCCATTCAACCCTCTTATACGGTTTTGAAACCTGCCCATCAGGTCGACAGACATAAAGAGGCTAGCCACGTTCGACCATGCCTGGTGGGAGCACCGCGTGAGCAATGCGCGTGTTCGGCGTCGCGTATTTGGTGCAGGAAGGGTGCGTGAACCGATCAGCACCATTATGTCACGCAGCAGCCTCCGATGGCTGGGACACGTGTTGCGCATGCCAGCACACCGACTCCGGCGACGTGCATTGTTTGCGCGCCGTGGGTGCGACTGGAAGAAGAGGAGGGGAGGCCAAGCGATGATTTGGTCGAGAGAAATGAAAACCCTCACTTCGAAGTTAACGTCGGTTGGTGCATCCCGACTGCCTGGTTGAGGTCCTAAGGACGATGAACACGTTTAATATGGCTAGGAGCCGGCCGCAATGGCATTTGTATTGTGCGTTCCTTTGTCCATCCCCCTCCCGCTTAGCCTCCCCTCCAGTCACCATCTCACTCGTTAGGCATAATATAACTTTTTGCGACACGATAGCCGGCTGTTAGCTCTCCGGAACGATGTCAATCCGTTACTGGGGACTCAGCAGGCGTGCCTCTCTTGTTTTTCGTATTGCGGCACAATAGCTGTGGTGTTTTCCACCTGCAGCTAACGTGTATACTGATGATGATGCACATCTGTACACACGGATAGACATTTCTTTTCAAATTTCGCATGCAGCTCTGCACATACTCTCATTTGCATAAAGGACAATCAACGACCAACATGTTTCGTTCACTATGTTGAGAAATCTATTATATTACTATCAACAAAAAAATAATATTTTTGAATCGAATTTCTTATCTATGTACAAAAGGGATGCACAAGGGGGGATTCCATCAAGTCCTGCGTGAGTCGAGGAACATAAGTCCGAGATCTGACCAGTGATTTTTGCAATAGTGAATTCCACTTTGCATAGACTTTCACCGGTGGTGTACAGGGTGCCAAGTGCTGGTGAGTCTGCTGGTTCAGTAACCACTGCTTCGGCAAAATAATCGCTGAATACCTCACAATTATCATCTGGTGCATCGAAGTCTGTTCCATCAGGCATGGTGATAAAACTGAAAGAGTTGCTGCACAAAATAGTTTAGATAATTCAGTTGTTTTGTAAAGACCGTTCCAATGCTTAATGTTCTTCTAGAATGAGAGTTCTGTCATTCTGATGCCTCACTTCTTCGACGATCTTTGACTACTGGAGAGTAATAGCGCAAGGTCTGTAGTTAGCCTGATTTTCTGCTGAATCTTATGATCCTTACGTACAGTCTTTAACAGGTTTCGAGTCGATTTAGGCTTTGTTTGGTGGGCACATTTTAGCCGCGCCACTGAATCGATGCAAAAACTTATTATATTATAGAATAGGTTCGTTGCCTATTATGGACTTGAATTGGGAATGAGGTTGTCCCAATCTATCCAAAAGACCACGTCCTGGAACGAGTTCCAATTGACGGAACTGAGCAAACTTTAATGTATTGGGTGCTGTACACCTACCTTGCATAGTATTACTCAGCCATTGAACAACCGGTGATTGCTCGCAGAAAATTCATCGAGAAAGGGAATAATACTAGTAGGTACGTCTAGTGACAAATGAGTTCGAGTACTTTCACCTGTGGTTGTTTGGGAGGTACGATTTTGCAGTTGCAAAGGAGCGGTTCCAATGGACCATCGGATCAATGGCAGATTGATATCACCTTCGATAATCTTATGTTTTAAACGATAGTTTTGCGACGCATTCAAATTCAAGTGTGAAAAGTGCTAGGTCCTCTTAGCCACAGTTTGGTGTGCTGTATTTACATTCCACAAGTAGTTGCTGCTGACTACCAGAAATTGTAAGCCAAAGTGATTCCTCGACTTTACTCAGCACTGAGTACTCGAAGGTTACTTCTGCGAGCAATTTTTCTGACATATTACACTGCTCCATCTCGACGGCTCTGCCGATTTTTCATAAATTCGTCTTATCAGAAGATGGTTTAACTGATTGCCAGACATTTTATCACGGTAACAAGCTTCAGTAGTATTCACCAAAACAATTAAGCGTATTATGTTGATTCTAGGATGAGTCGAACGAATACTAGCCGGAAATATATAGTTGTAAGATAAGAAGGAGGTAGTTTACGTTGCTTTATACACTTTTAGATTGAAAGTTGTGTCTGATTTCGGACTAGCAATTGTTGAAACAGGAGGAGTACCACCTCCTTCGTTGTAAAATGATTTAGTGGTAGTCACAGCAAAGGGGTTGTAACCGAGTATGGCCCTCTACAAACTTGTTCGCGGAACTGAGCCCATGGGAGCGAGGGAGTTAAACGGAGGGTTTCTAACAAGTTCACTTGCGGATATCGGTCTGATAGACTGCGTCAGCTGCATCATGTGGATTCTACTAGGTTGTAGGTCACTGAGAAGAAGGGTCAGTGGGCAGCTGCCATTTCTTTTGTTAGGTATAACCTATGTACTTGTACCCGAATCACTGTGAAGACATTAGTATCAATCTACGCTCCACGAGCAGCATACTTCTTGTCATGCATCAATGGGACCGGATAGTGGTGATACCCAAATTCATCATGTAAGGGATGCAAAGATGTTGGAATGTCTTCTATACCTTTATGATTATGACGAATGGGTGATGTCTATTCGAACAAAGCGATGGTACACATTCGTCCAATGTCGCTTTCGATAAATCTAGATCAAAATTCCCTTTACTGTCGATCAGTTAAACCGAGTCAATCGATATCTTTGACGAGCCCAGATACTGGCCAGAGTAGACTGTAGGCGGAATATGACAGGTAAAGGCTTGACATGGTGGCTTTGTTTGCATTTGGGATCCGAAGGTTAATGTACTTGGTATTCCCCGAACTACATTATTACCACCTCGCATGCTTGAAACATCATTAGAAATGCCTTTATAACTGCTAGACCATCTGCATCACTAGATCTATGTGTTGTAATCATTTTGCGCTTGGTCGGCACACTATGCTAAGTCAGGAAGGTGCTGTCTGGCGGAAACCTCCCAGTGACCACTTATGCGCCTGACGTTGACTACATCACCGAAGCACTGGCGTTGGGCGTTCTCCGAGGCACCGCAGCTAATGGACTAGACTTGGTCGTATGTCATACCATTCGCTGCGATTTTCAAAACTCATTAATCATCGCATCATATACCTATAGCAAGAGGAATATCGATCCCAAAATCATTGTGGCCACTAATTGGAACACTATCAACTGGATGCCGGGCGTAATATGGCTGTTTCGTAGTTGAGTTTGCGTCTGCCTGTCGCCTGCTAATCTTTCCTAACGCGGTTTAATATTACACAATTTTAGGCGTAGTAAGCAGACTGCGATTGCGCTTTTGAATGAATTGCTTACCTATCAGTTCATTACCAAGCTAGAAAACTATGGAACAAAACAACACGACATTTCCCGTTTTTCTGTAGTCTGGTGCAATAATAAGATTGTACGTCGCATGCAGTGAGAAACACATTCTGAACAGTTTTCAATGTTAGTTTGTCCGACACATTAAAAACCACCGCACTGCGTCAACACGGTACTCCATCGTACTCCGTCGACGGGCATGCACGTGTCTTTTGGTCAGCTGGAGAATCAGTACACAAGTGTTTATCGAGTTCAACGCCACATCTCTAGTCAAAATTCTCTTGGACTTCCTTATTCAATCATTTTTGGTTGCTTTTTGATCATCGCCTTTTAGGAGTTTTCTTTCATGAGTCATAGTTTCTTGACGGCATAATTCGTCATCGGCTACCAAAGATGATTTTCCGAAAATATGGCAGCTCATGTACTACATCCAGACTTTTCGGTAACTTCTTGCGTTTATGTGCATATTCCTTCTTTATTGCCCCTTTTTCCAGCCCTCATCGCCTCTAAAAGATCCGCATCACTCGCCACTTCCCCCGTCGCAGCTTCTTCCACCCACCCTGTGCTTACCGCAGCGGCCAATGCTGGTGGCACTCCACTGATTGGCTTTTCTGTCGGTGGTGCTCCAAGACGCCGCTCCACCGGTTTCAGTTTCGTTTCTTCATCCGGTGTGAATACGAAGAAGTTGTACGATTCTCTTCTAGTCGTTCTACGCATCCGCACCTATTTGACCAACTTGTGCATCATTTGCGATCCGGAATCTCTCAGCCAAATGTCCTCCAGACTTGAGCCTGGCTCTAAAGATTCCAAGTCTTCAGTGACGACCGCAACTACTTCAAGTCCCGTCGTCTCCGGTTCGGCCACTAACGGTTGGTCAACAGATACCACCACCACATCCTCCTCCCCATCGAGTACGCCGAACAAGGGTACGTATTTCTCTCTTCCTCAGCTCACTTCCTTATCATAAATGCCACGTTACTATGCCGTGTTCATAACCACCTGTGCTACAGTATACGAGTTTCTATGTTGATCTTGTGAAACAATTTCGTTGTTCCTTGCCGGATGTCTCTTTCAGCTCAGTTCGATACTGCTAGCGTCGTAAACGGGGGGCGGGGTCGTGTAGGCGCATGACTTCATTCTGACGAGGATGTCAGGATCAGTTATTACAATTGCTAAAAATCCTATTGTATATAGTGCAGTGGCAACTTCAGTGACTCTTACATCTGCTTCTCTGCTTCTAACTCTTGTCCCCAATATTCACTACTTCATATGACTTTTATCTTTTTGTTAGATCTTCACTTTTTTCGCTATTCCGAATTAACCACCCAGAAATTTCTCCGCAAAAATTCTAGCCCAGCCGAAGAAAAATCAAAATTCCAACAGTCTTGACCACGAAAAACGTGTTAACAAAAACTCTGCCAACGTAGCCAGATAATGCCGCCGAAAACACTGCCCTCTCAACTCTGAGGCAAAAGTCCAATTAGCCGGGTGTTTGAAAACGCATTCGTCCGCTCGATCGATTGCCTGATCGACCGCACGGGGTAGGCGATTCCCTTCAGCCCAGCTTTCAATCACCATTATATACTTTCCCTTTTTTCTTTTATGTTTTTATCTGATTCCCGGATACCTCCCCTCCTGAAGCTGCTGCCGTTGTGTATGATGCTAGCCGGGGATTAACCTGAAGCCTCCTGGAAGGGATTCTTCGCCTACCGGTGCATCGCCTTGGCTGTAGTGTTCTGGATTCGAATTCCGTGCTCTGCGGTCTGGTACTATTCGTCTGATGACAGGGTTCTTCTACTGGCTCTGTAGGCAAGTTGAAGCTGTCTGTCAACAGGTCAAATGGAAGCTTGGCGGATTCTGTTGCTTGTGGCTGACACATTGTTGTTCGCAGTTGGTTTGCATGGCGTACCCATACCTGCGTTCCAACCAGCACGTCGTAAATGACGCTTCCGCGCTTGCGCTGGATCGTGCCTGGCGTCCATTTCGCGTGTCCACCCCGATAATCACGCACAAGTACTGGCTGACCCGGTCTAAACGAACGTTGCTTGGCACCAAACCGCCGATTAAAATCACGTTCCATCTTTAGGTTCCTTTCACCAGCTATGGACTCTGAGGATGGCCGAACTGCATCATATGGCATGCGAAGTTTTCTCTTCATCATTGCCTCTGCTGGTGATATTCCACCCGGTGTTTGTAAATTTTGTGTAGATCGATACAGAAATAGGAAGCGGTCGATCACCTCCTCTATGTCTCCCTCCCTCCTTGATTTGAGGAGAGCGCGTTTGAATGTATCCACAAACCTCTCCGCTTGGCCATTCGATTGTGGGTGGAATGGTGGAGACCGCACGTGTTTGATGGCGCAACGTTGGCAGAATTCCGTGAATGTGGCCGAAGTAAACTGTGCTCCATTGTCCGTCACCAATGTTTCAGGGCAGCCGAACCTGCTGAAGATTTGTCGCAACCTAGAGACGGTTGCGCTGGTTTTCGTGCTTCTCATGAGGAACACTTCGGGCCACTTGCTATAAGCGTCGACCACTATGAGAAAGCTCTGGCCATTGATTGGGCCTGCAAAGTCGACATGAACACGACTCCAAGGTTTAGTTGGTTTAGGCCATGAGCGGAGTTCAGTCTTCGGCGGTGCCCTTGAGGCGGTAGCGCAGTTGCCACAACTTTTAGCTAGCTGCTCCAGCTGCCTGTCCATAAACGGCCAATACACATAACTTCTGGCAAGCGCTTTCATTCGGTTGAGCCCTGGATGTCCTGCATGGAACTGTCGCAGCACTCTTTGTTGCAACGCCTGCGGGATGACTACTCTGTCTGAGAACATGATGCAATCGTCCACAATGGAAAGCGAATGTCTTCGCTGATAGAACTGCTGCATTTCGGCAGATGAACACGAACGTGGCCAGCTGGTTCTGTGGAAGTGTGTCACCTTCTTCAGGATTGGGTCTCGAAGCGTTTCGGCCCGCACAGCATCGGCCGTAACTGGCATACCATGTAGTGCCTCGTTCACCAGGAATTTGACATCAGGTTCGATCTCAACTGAGGCAATGATGGTGTCCTCGTGTTCTTGCTGCTGGGAATCAATGAGGCGTGACAACGCATCTGCTTGGCCCAGCGAATTCGTTGACTGATAACGGATTTCAAAATCATAGCCCAGCAAGGTGAGTGCCCATCGTTGGAGTCGATTGGCTGTATAGGCAGGAATTCCCTTCTTCGAGCCGAAAATGGCCAGCAGCGGCTTGTGATCCGTCAAGAGTTTGAAGCGGCGACCATACAGCATCTTGTGAAATTTCTTCACAGCAAACACTATGGCCAATGCCTCCTTCTCGATCTGACTGTAGTTTCTTTCAGCTTTCGTTAGCGTCCTGGCGGCATGTGCGATCGCCTTCTGAGATCCATCTGGGAACGTATGGGAAACTACGGCACCGATCCCTAGACTCGATGCGTCTGTGGCAAGGACAATTTCCCGGGAAGGATCAAAATGAGTTAGGAGTAAGTCTGAAGCCAACAATGACTTGACCCGCTCAAACACAGTCTGGCATTCTGGCGTCCAATTCCAGGTTTGGCCCTTGCTCAGCAACTTATTCAACGGGGCACGCAGGCGATGTAGTTCGGGCAGAAAAGCGCTGTAATGACTGATTAGGCCACAGAATGAACGCAGCGACTGCAAGTCCACAGGTGGGGGCATCTTTTGAATAGCTCGGATATTTTCTGGATCAGGGCGACGACCGTCTTTTGAGAAGATGAAACCGAGAAACTTGATGGTTGGTGTAAAAAAGGTACACTTGTCTTCGCGGATACGGAAACCATATGACTGGATACGTACAAGCACTTCAGCGAGCCGCTGAAATAGTTCTTCTGCCGTCCGACCCATTAAAATGATATCATCCAGGTACGCCGCGGCTCCAGAAACTCCCGCGAGCATGGTGTCCATCAGCTGCTGGAAAATGGCTGGTGCTGTTTTCACGCCAAAAGGGAGGCGGTTGTACTGGTACAAGCCACGATGAGTGTTGATGGTCAGCAATTCTCTTGAGCTTTCATCAACCTCAACCTGGAGGTAGGCATCGGACAAGTCGAGCTTGGCGAAACACTTCCCACCATTTAGCTTGGCAAAGATATCCTCTGGTATCGGAAGGGGGTATTGATGGTCGTCCAATGCGGCATTCAGGCCAGTCGAAAAATCGGCGCAGACTCGCACTTTACCGTTCGGCTTTCTCACAACGACAATCGGCGCAGCCCATGAAGAGTAGTTCACTGGTGTGATGACACCGGCTCGTTCCAGTCGGTCGAGCTCCTGATCAACTGCTGTCATGGCTGCATACGGTACCGGTCTTTTTGCTCTAAAGACTGGCTTGGTTCCTTCACGAAGACACAACTTTGCTTTGAACTTAGTGCAGTGGCCGAGACCATCTTCAAACAAGGCGACAAACTGCTGCTTTAGCTTTCTGGTCATTTCTTCTATCGACAATGATGAATGTACTGGGTCGGTTTGTACTCTATTGCAAATCTGACTCATTGGAACATCAAACAGTTGTAATTTTTCCATCCAGTCAAGTCCAAGGAGGTTCAAGTTTGGTCGATCAGACAAGTAGCAGGTTCCGGCCTTTTCCACTCCGTTGAATGCAATTTTGCAATTTATTTCTCCGACCAACTTCAGCACTCCACCGGATGCATTGTGAGCGACTTTGTTGGAATCAATCATCTTCGGCTTCTTTATGTGCTTCCAAGTGTTCTTGGAAATGATCGTTATATCTGATGCCGTATCGAACTGCAGCCGGGTTGGGATTCCGTTGATAAGCACAGTGATAAATCGGCGGCGTGTTTTAGAATCGCTGTGAAACGTAGCAATCACCGATAGTGATTCTGCGTCAGGTTTTCTGAAGTTCTTCCTTCGGTAGGACTGCTTCACATTTCTTGGCCGGGACTGATGGCAAAAGTCTTCCTTGTGGCCGCGTTTATGGCACTTATCACAAATATGACGCTTGAATGGACAGTATCGTGCGAAATGCCATTCACCACATGACCAACAAGGTGTAGGCGGCTTGTTCGGCTTTCTGTTGAACGACTTATTCGAGCCAGGCTTTCTTGCTTTTTGCACAGCATGAACAGTATCGGCAATGGTGGGGCGACTCTGCTCAATCATAGCCGTGTCGTGTTTCAAGGTAATTAACCGTTTGCATTCGCCTACAAGAGACTTCAATGTCAAATCTGGGTCTTGATCCAAATTAGCAAGGAGCCGAGTGCGGATTTCCGCGTCGCGTGGAGACTGTAAAGCACTGACAAATATAAGACACTTAAACTGGTCATCCGTCAAACAGCGTAACTTGAAACGTTCACATTCACGGTTAACCATGTCTGCTAGTGCCCCATAATCGTCTGTATCACGCTTTACAATTTTTAGACATTGATAGCGAATGCTAAACAAAGATGTCGACTCACCAAAAATTTCTTTGAGTGTTGCCACTGCTTCGTTGAAAGTGATGTCCTTCGGCTCTTTGGGCAATATGTGGTCAAGGAATCTTGTATGTTCATTAGTACCGAGCTTGCGGAGCAAAAGACGCACTTTCCATGAATCATCTTGACGGCTGAAATCCGTCTGGAACATATCCTCCCAACGTTTGAACCACGCCTCGAAAGTGCATTCGGAATCAGCATCATAATGAAATTCAGTGATTGAATTCGTAAGAAGATCAAGTGAAACAGCCTGCGTGTCCCGTGTAGCTGCTCCGTTTGATTGTACGTTTAAGCACTGCGTTAAACTTTCAATCAGTTTCATTTGTGCTTCCATCTGGGATTGTTGCTGAAGAAGCAGCTTTTGAAAATGTTCGGTAGAAAAATTTGTAACATTTCCGTGCTTGTCCGTCGCCATTGTTAGATCTTCACTTTTTTCGCTATTCCGAATTAACCACCCAGAAATTTCTCCGCAAAAATTCTAGCCCAGCCGAAGAAAAATCAAAATTCCAACAGTCTTGACCACGAAAAACGTGTTAACAAAAACTCTGCCAACGTAGCCAGATAATGCCGCCGAAAACACTGCCCTCTCAACTCTGAGGCAAAAGTCCAATTAGCCGGGTGTTTGAAAACGCATTCGTCCGCTCGATCGATTGCCTGATCGACCGCACGGGGTAGGCGATTCCCTTCAGCCCAGCTTTCAATCACCATTATATACTTTCCCTTTTTCTTTTATGTTTTTATCTGATTCCCGGATACTTTTTACTTTCTTATCTTTCATTTTACTAGCTGGACTCTTGAAACTTTTCTGTTTACCCCAGTAACGTGGACTGGGTAGCTCTTTCCACCTCACAAAATTTTTGACGCCGCTCTGCGTTGTTGCTGAATTGTGAACTTAGTGGATTATGTTCGGAGGCAAGCTTGCACTTCCCTGGTCACGTCACACCTTTTGCACAACCGCTGAATTTCGCTTGACCAGACGATGAGCCGATTTAGCTATGCACTGATGTATTAAAAATGTGAGCGAGCTCACGAACTGAATGGGTCTTGCTTGCACCTGTCGCTTTTTGAATTCGGACTACAGGGGCAATCGCGTTTACCCTTTTGTAAATCTCAGGCATAACGCAATCAAAAATCTATTTGGAGGCCGCCTACTCCTAACGTGACTTTAAATCGGCCCCTTTGCTGGTTCGTTTTATCTCCGTTTGCACTTTTCGCTTCGTTTTTCGGCTTGTTCTTGACCCATATTCATGCGCAATTAGGATATTACAAATTAGTCCACCCGCCTTTTACCTTAGGTAAATCGGTATGAGTCAAAGAGGTAATTTTATTCCACCATAACGTGCTTCCTGCTTTAAGCTAGCACTGTTGGGGATGTGCCGCCATCGCGCATGCTTCTACAAATCCTTTAGCGCTGCCTTTAGTTTAGCCCTTGTTGTTTCCACCAGGGCGTCATTTTCGCGCCGTTTGTTGCAAACTTATCCGGTTTCTCAGAATAATCTTTGTCAATTTATTTGGCTAAACCATTTCCCTTCGTGCAATTTTGGTCATGTCATTCTAGTCCATCCTCAGTTAACCATGTAAAGTGCTGAAAATGCACTCATCCGGGCACAGAAAACTTGATTTGATTTTATGTTGTTCAACTGGAAATCCTGCCTTCTTTTACCTCACATGACATCACGCTCTCCGGACACCTCCCTTTGTGTGCACTTCTTGGTTGTGCTGCCGAGGCATCTCATCCATGCGCAACATACCGCGGACTTCCCACTTTCATACCATCTACCACATTTTTTGCGCTGTATTTGTCTCTAGTATACTTGTTCGCTTGCTCGGATATCCTAGACCTACGGCTCTTCACCTGACATCAACTAGTTGTGTTGTTTTTCTCACCTTTTCCTTTCGCACATCTGGAAGCCGCTTTGCATCTCTCTTCCGCTCTCTTTCTAAATACACCCCTCAGTGGACACGAAACCAACCAAAGTGGTTCATCCACCGACGACCGGTGGATTTACCGAAAAGCCCATCCCTTCAATATCCAGCCCCATTACCTCCACTACACCGACACCCCTTATGCGTCCGATACTCGGAGCCCAGTCTGTAGAAGATGCTCGCAAGCTGTTGGCTCTCAGTGAGGCTCACAAACGCATGCACCACCGTATTCCTGCGTTCACCTTTCCCAGTGCGCCGCCTCAATCCAACACAGCGGCCCAATTTGTCTTCGTTGCGCCTCCATCCGCGCCTCATGCTGGTGTGGGCCTCGGACAGCTGCAGCACCCACACCATCCCCCAATTCAACCACAGTGGTCGAGCCAGCCGACGACAGTCATGATCTCCCATCGTTGGGGTTCCAATCTCGTTCCGACCTCCTCTTCGTCTTCCTGTTGTTCCTCATCTTCAGCATCGTCGTGTCAAAACCCCCAACATCACTATCATCATTATCTGCATAATCACCCTCATCAACATCCACATTCACTGCAGCAGCAAGCCCAGCATTTCGGTTCGACCTACACTCTCATGGGCAGCAAAAGCTTCCTACTGGACACTCTTATCCCAACACCCCAGCGTATTGGCCAGAGCACGGTGCCGACAGTGCGTTCCGTAGGCATGGGAGCGCAGCATGCTAATGTTCTACACCCGGTTCATCGTGTGGTTGGAACGACAAACAGCGTCAGCGCAGGTGCAGCCAATTACGGCCACTGCAATGGTGCCAAAAGTTGCCCGTCCCAGCAAACAGTGGTAAGGCGTCGGAAATGCGATTAGTTGTATCCCATCACTTTGGACTCAGTTTCATTCGCATATTTTCCTGACAACTTTTTATATATGATCGATATATTCTACTTACCTTCCGCTACTATTCTGTCTTACCGTTTCTGCAGTCTGGCGCTGGCCACGGTCTACCCAACTAGCTTGTTTGATGGCAACTCGGATTTGTGCTCACACCGGTATTCTCAGATCTTCGTAATCCCCTCTAAACTTGGTTATCTTTTCTTCCTCGGTTAGGTATGCTAAGAACGCACCAAACAGAACCTAAGCATACGTACGAAACGATCTGTTTACAATGCCACAATAGCATTTTTCATAGTCATGCCTGATCTCAGTGCATGAAGTGAATTACACGGAACCACTGTTGTGCTCTCACATGGTTTAACTGCACCCATACTGGCCTTGACTCAATCATTTGCTCTTCCTTGGTCCCGAATAGAAGTTTTATCCAAGTCCACGGCTTCGCTGACCTTTTTTTCTTATTTTATGCTTTATATGGTCAATGACTCTATCGAGATTGGAGCCCGAGAAGCCCCATCAATCATCCGATAGGGTAAATATTCCTCGTGCGAAGACATTTGGCTCTAAGTGTAAATGGTGCTTCGGCATTTTAACCGTCCCATGCATTGACGGAGACGCTTATCGTGACCAGCACCCCAGCAGGTCACACTGCTTCTAAAACTACTGGTTGTTGTTGTTGTTGCTGCTGTTGTTGTTATTGTTGTTGTTGTTGACATCATAGCACTATGTTTCCCTTCCTCAGACTCATGCGTTATATCGAGGCAACTAGGAACACTGGTCGTTGAACTCTTCGCCTTACGAAGTGCTTCATTTTTTTCACTGGTCTCCGGTACACATGCTTTGCGCACTTGGCTGCCGTTGATTCATGGCATGGAGCCGCTGGAGGCTCCCGTTGCCTCAATTTTGCCTAGACGAGCAAGATGCTTTGTGACTAGTTAACAACTACCCCACGCGAGCTACCAATATTGCATTTTATTGCATTCAACCTTACTGCGTTACAACGCTAGCTCAGTGTGTGTTTACCGACATAACAAAGCAGGCACCGTGATTAATTCGCGAACTCATTACTCCAGTGGCTTCACACGTTCTCTATTTCTTGTAACTATCAACCTCTGTGCGTGAATGCTTTTATATTGGACCACATACCACTGTTGCGACAAGATAGCTGAAGTATTTCTCACCCCTAACTAACATGCAAAATGATTGTAACCATGCACGGACGTTATTGGACCAAGAATTGTGTTAGCCTACTTAGGTGTTATGGTAGACGGCATGTACACCCAGCCATTGGATTGTTCAGCGTTCTTGGCGGACATATTAACGAAGCGCTTCGTATATGGAAGCGTCAGTTGTTGTGTTGCATTCACCGGTTGCCGTCCAAGCAGGTTTGGAATCTTATTACTTTTTATTTAGCGTTCAGATGAGTCACGTTGATCCTCGGCTTGCGATGCCTTTCTTGTGCCTATTTCTCCTTCCCAATTCGTTTTCCAGATGGCACAGCAAAACCGCATTGGTCCCACCTCTCGAAATTGTGCGGATCGCGTATCTGCTCAACTTCCGAATAATCCTCACGGTCACTCGCTCCAGCCTCAACGGTATACATCCCAACAACAACCGTTTATAATACAGACCATCCCCGGTGGGACTGGGCCCAAGCCGAATCTTCCTAAGCAGGCGAGTTGCAATGCACTCGTCAACACCGGCAACAGCAGTCAAGTATTTTTCAACGGCGGTGTCCATCACGTCAAAACACTCGCACCCAACATTCGATCGCAGCAACCGCGTCCAGGTGCCCCTTTAAATAACGCCTACCGATATCCCACTGCGAACATGCACCCTATGGGCGTACTTCCACATCAGTACAAGCGGCCGATTATCCAGCGGATAAACCAACAGAGTATGTCCACCATCCTCTGAGTCAGGGAGGTCTCAGGTGTAACTATCAAACAATAGATTTCGTTCAGTATCTTATGCTCGCCAGCTATTATGCGTGTGGCTGAATCTAACCGCTCCATATTTCATTTGTCTGAATTACTGGTACCGTGTTAAGGTGCGTGGGACTGGAACCCATACTTCTCTCAACACCTGTCGAGGTATCTGTCGTTCTGTGATAACGTTGCGTTTGGACACGGCAAAGTCGAATTCGATAGGGACCGGGCAATTATCGCATACTAAAGAGCTTAAATTAAATGGATAGATAGCTTACTATATTTTTCGACAAGCAGTATATGACTCCTTCTTTTTTTTATTCCGTTTTCAAGTGGCCATTGATGCGAATGAATTTTCCTCTGTCCTTTCTTTCTCATCCCTTTGAGTACTACGTCTCTCCCCTCGGCTTGTGTGTGTGTGTGTTTCGCATTGGTTTGTTTTCATACCGTACCTTAGACAGACCGGGGTACTTAGGCTGGTTGCACTTCTTCAGCGAACTTGTGAGGGTTTTGCTTCCCTTTTTGAATTCAGTTCGCATTTTTAATGTTCCTCCTCAAAACAGTCTTTCGGATCAGCTCTCGTAGTGCTGCAGCCGAGTTAAAATGACAAGTGCCAGGTTCTTGTTTATTTTGTCTTCCTCAACTCTTAATCATGCTATAAAATGGCCTACACTAGTATAAGTACATGTTGGGTGTTCCCTGCTCACAACACTTTACTCCACGACCAACTTCGGTACTTGTTTGCACTCGCCAGCTAGAGGTAGCGGAACTGTGACTCGAAACCGGGACGTGCGGACTACCAACCACCTATCGCAAGCACTGCTTCCAAACGAATCCGAAATGGTCCACACTGACCTCTTCCGTTTTCATCTGAGCTTCGCACTTGGCGTTCTAGATTTGAGCTATCGGACAGACATCCTCAGCACGTAGTTAATCCATCAGAAGATATCCCATCGAGTGTTACCCTCTGCACTTCACTTCGCCGGCGTACACAACTTACGCGGTTGTCTGTGGTGGGCAGTCAACACACTTTCTAACAGACACGTATATACCATCCATCGCGAGTTAGTCGAAATTACATGCCCAATACTAACATGAGCACAATTTCGCACGCGTTCTCAGATCGAAAACACAAACAGGCGGAGTTCAAAGTATCGCATTGTGCGGTGAAGTAGACGTATATGGAAGCAACTCGACCAATTGCAACCAGGTGTTTTAACGGGTGATAATGGCTTTCTGAATAATGCGTTGTCATCATTAGTCGGTGACATTAACAACAGATGTGGAGTTTGCAGAATCGCATTCATTGCTGGCTCCCCTACATAAAACATGCTGCATGAATATCTCCTAACATATCGCAAGACTTAGACCTCGCACTTCTCACGTACCAGTTAGCAGCCACGATTGAGTTAATATATCTCGTATTTCCAACAGCTGCTCATTCAAAGCACATGCGCACAGTCACCTTGTAGCCTGCTCTGCTCCTTTCAACTCTCGCGTCGAAGTAACCCACCAGTGTTTTCTACTGATCTATGAGCTAGTTGGTTTGCGTTATCTGAAATAGACCCTCTTTGTTTCCGTAGCCTCATGTTTATGTACTCTTTTGTAGCACCTTCATATGCAATGGTGCATATTTTTAGCAGCCTTTCAACATATATGAAGCTGTCAAAAATCACGGAGCTCAACGAATGGTACCGTTGTCATGGAAAGAAAACCAAACAAAGCATAGAGCAGTGCATGCTCTCGTCAGAAGGCACGATACAACCCAGTTACGCAATCGCGACGCTTACCCGCGAGGCAGCGGAGCAAGGTCGGGGACATGCGTTCACTGGAGCTAGTAATAGATTTTTCAGTCCGTACGCCTTTAGTTTGGTTGATTGCCAGACGCGGGTCCAGTGCACCCTGCGTCCATCCTCCGGCTTGCAATGCCCCACCGAGGTACGGCAAGGGACAATGATTTTATTTAGTGGAACGTCACATTTGTCATGTCGTAGGATCGGAAGACGGAAATTTGTGGATTTTTTTATTGGTAAGACGCTTGGCAGTGTAGCCCTTTGCTACGGAAGGGTAAACTCGAACAACCCAGATGGCACCATTTCGAGGTAATTCGGCAAGTCGGTCATACTCAGTGATGCTCATTGGCAAACTGTTTGGAGTGAGTACCTTCGACAACTATTAGAACCTAGTTGTTTAAATGAGGCCCTCGCAACTTTCCAAAGGAGAAACACGTCTTGATGAATGCTTTTCCAACTTCTCATCACTGTTTGCACTTTGGTCAAACCACCGGTTAAATCCTGGTTCCTTTCCTCGCAATGTCTTAGTAGCATCCCAACACAATATGTTTGCAGTGGGAGTAGTTGGAAGCTAACTCGCTTTGAACTAGCATACCGACGAGACGTTTCGTTCACGTGACTACGTACTCCTCCTCTCGAGTTACGACATTCCCGTGCATTTGAGTGGAACCGATTTGATGGCACCAGACAGGCTACTCCTTGATCCTGAGGTTTGATAGATCACTGAGGTACCACATCGTGTTAGCCTAGATGGACTCAAGGCGGGCTATATGCCTCCGCCGCATTGTCGTGCGCTACACGTTGCGCCTTTTTCCGTCTACGTCAGTGCAAGTGCTGGCGCCTATCTTAATGTTATTCCTTCCTCCTGTAGTCACGCAATTGCCTACTTGTGCCATTGTACCTCCACATCTTCCGGGAATTCCTCAGGGGTTGGTGTTTCGCCATCTCCATCAACTGAAGCCGCAAGGATCAACCGTGCGAAATGGCCGATCTGGTTGCGTATTCTAACTTTATTCTCGTGTTTGTATACCTCATTGATCTGCTGTTTGAATATTGGTTCTCTCTTAGTAACGGATCGTAGTGTTCGGTTCTCTATGCTACAAGCTGGCTTTCTACGGACTCAGTCGCAATCGTGCTCTCCTGCTTGGTCATTCGAATCTGTACATCATCACAGGCACAGGTACGCCTACCGGTCAGGTCGGTTGGTTGGGTCTGACCTGGCATGTGTTGTGAATTGTCAGTTCAAGGTATTCATTTCAGTAGTTTACAATTTACATAGCACGGCCTAGTTCGGAAAACTACCAGACGCCTTTTGCCCCATTGGGGCTCGTCAGTGGTGCGCATTCCCTCGATCCCCTACTGAGGATCGAACCCATGACCGCTAGAGGATGAATTCCTTAAAATTGTAATGAAATTCTACTACTTACGAGTAATATAAATAAATAGCGTCTTCTAATTTCAAATGCCATGGATAAAGCATCTAGCGGGAGGACATTATCACCTCGCAGGCTAGCCGCTATCAGTGACAGTGGAAGATAGATGGTGCTATATCCCAGTTAGATTGCAAATTATGTGGCCCAGCCAACGTCCCCCATGGTTCATTGGCTTAAATTGTTTGGTAGTTGGCATCTGTCACTAGCGGTCATAGGTTTGATCCCCAGTAGGGGACCGAGGGAATGCGCACCACTGACGAGCCCCAATATGGCGAAACGCGTCTGGTGCTTTTCCGGAATAGGTTGCGCTGTGTAGCTTGTGAGTATTTGGGACGAAGACATTACAATTACAATTAAAAAATCCTCCTACTCATTAGTAACATAAATGTAGCCTCTTGGTTTCAAATGCTATAGACGTAGCGTCTAGTGAGAAGGAGTCATGACCTTCGGAGGCTAGCCACTATCAGCTGCTAAGGTAGTAACCTGCGTGGCAATGGAGGATAGGTCGTGCTATATCCCACTTAGCTTGCAAATTGTGTAGCCCAGCCGATGTTCCTCATGGCTCAGTAGCTTAAGCTGCTGCCTGGTTGGCATCTGCCTCTAGCAGTCATGCGTTCGATCCCTAGTAGGGGACTGAGGGAGTGCACACCACTGATGAGTTTCAGTAGGGTGAAATGCGTCTGGTGTTTTTCCGGACTAGGCTGTGCTATGTAACTTGTAAAATACTGGGACGAACATCTTAAAATTACAAGTAAAATCCTGCTACTTACGCGTAATTGTCAGTTCAGTCGAGCTGCACGGTTTTCCCCGTGCGATATGTTATACCCGGTAACATACGATGCGAATGTTGGCGATGTACAATCCAGTAAGCTACCGCCACATCGATGGCTGGCTCCATGGAATTGTTGATCGCTGCTGGGGGGCATGGGATGATTAGTCTTCATGACATTTCTACAATGTACTGTTGGTTCCGTCATGGGAAGAATTGCAGCACAGCCGCCACTCTATCCACCTATATCAGTGATCTATATGTCGAGAAAGTATGGGTCGGCACCGAAGCCTTTGTGGCTAGTTTTCATCCGCATGTATTCCTGTCCTCTTCCTTCCGGTTTACATCAGCCATGGGCTGGTAGTATAACGCAAACGACCAGTAGTCTTCCTATAGGCAGAGGAGTCCGGTAGCTGTTCGCAGCCTAAATCTGTCACTCCTCTTTTTACCGTCCTTTGCTCGTCTGTATTTCAAAGTCCACCTATTTTCCTCACAGTACCTTCCTTTGTGTCCGGTAACCTGATGGCTTCCTTCAATTTCATGAGCATATTTGTGCCAATACATTTGTCACTGTTTCATAGTCTTTCGTAATGGGTACACCGCCGCGCTATACAGGGTCACATTGCGGTACAAATGACAATTTATGCTTATCATCTGTCCACTATTCCGAATTGTTTGATTCACGCTAACAATGTAACGCTTGCAAGGGAAGCAACTAAATGTGACGACGTGTCCAAGAAGTCCGTTTCAACTTGTAAAGTGCCCATAAGTATACTCTTTGTAAAAAAAACCTATGGGCGATAGAGACGTAATCCTATCAGCAAACATTTGGATGAAAGTGTTCAAGGAGTGCTCTGATTTTCACTACTTGTGTTTTCTCATGACGAGGAAGTCAGCCGAATCCCAGTAGTGTGTAAGAAAACCCACTGTTGTCACATTTGACATCCACCCTACTGGTAAGTCTACTGGGCCACGTGGTTCGTTTACGTCACCGTGATTTGGGAGACAAACCTGGGCAATAATTGAAGTATACATCAACAGTGTTGATGAATTGTCCGCTGACCTGATCGTTACGAGGGTGCTAGACCTTAGTATGGTACTTTGGTTTACGCTCATCAGTTGAATGGTTCATTTCAAGAGCCTTTAGAACTAGTTATATCAGACATCTCCATGGGTAATTGTCAGACAAACTCGGTTTCATGGTCCTTCTCATTGGATATGGAATAAGCTCAGTGGCGCGTATTCTCTCAAACTCAACTGTTGGCAACAACGATCTGCGGGTTACAAACTCAGCTCGATTGGTGTCGAGTACCAATGTCACCCGCTGTTTCTGACGATCGGTATCCAGAACTCAAGGTACACTCACCATTACTGAAGACTACAATGTTGCGTGGCTCGTTTCATCTCCCTACGTGGCACTTTCTTATGAACAATATTTCATACAAAGTGACGGTCAGATGTGCTCCTTCGACGTGTGAGGTCGATTTCCTTTATCGCACTCTCCCTTCTTCCAGCCTTGAACTAGAGCAGCTTTGTGTGAACTGCCTTCTCCCAATATACCCTGCACTTTCTTTCTTTCTTAGTTATGGATTGGAAACCTAATCGTCCCCCTCCTTATGAATTGGCACTCGCTCTTCGACAGCGGCAACCCCGAATACGTGATGACTCCCAACTCGGTCGAGCACAGCAACAGTTTTCGGAGCCTAACATTTCCAAAGGCTGTAAGTGGTTGCGGTTGTACGCGATTTCCTGCTTTGTACTTTCTCTGGATTATTGGCATTTATCGGCCCCAGTTTTAAACCTTCGTTGTCAGCATGTTTGATCTCTTCTTTGTTTCTTTTCGTCTTCCTACAGTATCCTCCCCTTTCAGCGGTTTCGTTCTTTGGCTAGTTTTGTTTTAGCCTCCTTGGCTACAAGCCACTGTAAAGCGGTAATCAATGTTGTGAACGCCGATAATAGGGGAAAACTGTTGTATAGTTGAGACGATAAGCATCTTAACGATCGATGATAAAGTAATGTAGCTTTTTCTTGTTGCAATTTAGATTAATCGTTTAAATAAACTATACGTCATCAGCCGTAGAGATTCATGAACTCCTTCCCCTCTCCCTATTGGCAGCTGCGGATTCTCAGTCGTCTGCTGCATGTCGCCATTTACCACAGACCCATGGTCTTCACACAGATGGTCCTCTATTGTCCAACTCGTCAAGGCTTGCAATGCCGACTCGCCATGGTTGCAACGACCTGGAACGCGGTCGTCTTGGATCTCCCGTCCAGAGTCAGTACCCACCAGGGGCTCCTCGATCGGCTACCGAAGCGAGTCGTATGGATACAAAGCTTCAAGAACGTCTGATTGGGTCGATACCCTGCTCGCCCCCCACAAGAACCCATCAGCGCCCCGCTCCCCCCTCATATCACCAGGTAAGTGATTTATGGTAGACTTAGTATGCCTCAAAATCGATGTCGGATGGTTTCCATGTCCATTGTTGTGGTCCAGTTTTTTAGACAACCGAGCTCCCTGTTCTAGCGTTTCACACGTAGTCGATCGGCGAAGTAAACCCCCTCCACGCGGTCTTTGTTTGAATTGTTTAGCTGGGAACTCAAGTCACAGGTCAACCTGCGCTGTCCGGTCTATGACCAGCAGGATCTGCTCACTTTCTTATCTGTATATTTGAGCAAAATATAATGAAGGGTTTTGTCTATTGCATTCCGAATTCTACTTAGGTCGTTGCCATGACTCGGCACAATCAACAATCACAACAGTCATCCCAGTCAACTGGCAAGCCCCCAACGCACCACTCCGCTAGATTAGGCCCCGAGCGTCCGATTCCTCCCACGAGAACTGTGGCTACCTTGTCTGGATCGAACCACGCCTCCACTCGGTCTGCCTCCGTGTGTCCTACCGTGGGTATGAGCACACGATCCGGACAGCCTCAACATGGCATTTCCAGTTCTGAACCATCCTACGATCCTCGTGAGTTTTGTATGCTTAGTGTATATAATTTTTGGAAATTCGACAAATATGCAGAATCGATCAACAACCGGTGATCTTAGAAAAGTTTGATGTTGCTGTGTTGGTATTACTTCTGAGAAACGTTTCACGCTTGATCTCGGTTTTTATCATCATCCGTGCACATTTGCTATTGCCTCACACACTGGTCGAGTCCGTCATCATCTTGATTCCCTACTGCTCCATCCAAATCTGCACAACTGCCAGCTCCTAATAGGTCACTACAGCTATCCGGTGACTTCCTACCCCCGTGCTCATCCGTTAGTACAATATGATGGGGAGAAGTAATGCTTATAATTAATCGCCACATACCAGTGTTTAGACGAATTACGCATATGGCATGTCAACGCCCGTGGTACATTATTCTTCTGAGCAATCTCTAATCACCTTTCATTTTCACCATCAGACTGCACTTCCTAAGCTATCGTTCGAATTCGTTATTTAAAGTCGTCTTCCTCATGTAAAGTTTTTATCATAGTGATGAATACCATATGACTGATCGATTAATTGCGCATCTTTTAGTCTTACCTATTACCAAAAGTGATCTTGCACCATTTCTCTCGTGAATTGCGTGGCTTGAGGGATTCCGTCGGAAACTCACTGAAGTCAAGGTTCACGACACATTGTTTGTATACCACTGGTGTGCTTGCCAGTGCCCAACTGGACACTGGTAGCAGCGTGGTATGCTGGAGGTACGTACTATCGCATCAGGAGCAAGTAGAATAGTGGAAGAGAGCAAATTTGGACTGGAACAGACCAGTTGTGAACAACTCCAAGAGCCTAGCACAAGGTGATCGCCCAACTGGTAATGCATGAGGAATAAGTATGAAAGCTGTGCTAAACGAAGACTGTGATGAGGAGCGTACGGCACAACAGTCAGGGTGCGCCTGGGACACGCAGTAAATGCTCATGTACACACTAGATGTTCGTTGGTTCAATAACTGCATCCACTGAGTTAGGGTTCTTTCTCCTCTTATTTTCCCTTGTCCACGGTGTGCACGCAGCCTACTTACGTTTGTTTGTAGTTGGACACCTTGTCAGCCCTGGTGTAGTCTAGTACTTAGCTAGTATATACCTGGCGGTTTTATGGTCTTCCGGCTACCAGTAGTCCTTTCCATCCGCCACTGTGCATTGCGCTTTTCTTTTCGTTTAATATATGTTTACCTACTTGTTTTTAAAAAGTAGTTGGATTTATAAAACCATTTTCATCACGCCTGCTTTTCGTTCCCCTGCTCGCACTGTTTTCTAGGCCACACATAAGGTCAGTATTTTCGTTCTATTCGTCTGCTTGCTTACTTTGACTGTGTTCCTGATCGCTGTCGTTTAGCTTCGCGATCTTTTTCGCTTCTCAATGTGCGCGTCCATTTTTGGTTACGTCGTGACTCGTGACCCATGTTTCGCATCCTCCGCCCTCTGGAATGCGCCGTTGTGCTTTCCGACTTGTCTCCTGCTTGTCTGCTATAACTATTTTGTTTTGATTACCTCATCTGTACTTTCATGTTAACTTCCGGTGTGTATGTGGCATTACTTATGTCCTCTGAGTGGACCCTTGCGACGCTTCCCCCATCATACAATCCGCTCCACCAGGTTAAGGCGAACTATGCTGGTTGTTATCCCTGGAGGACTGTCGATCCATCACAGTAGGCAACATTGAAAAGTCCTACGTTGTCGTGGAAACCCAACATACTGGTTTCTTTCACCACTTTTGCGGATTGACTTTTGCCATAATGGATGTAAAGTGCGCTTTTCAACGTTCGACATCACTAACACAGCTTCCATCATATATGAACACTGAGGCATCACCTCATCTACGAAGGGGGGAGGCATTTTATCTGCTGAATAACCCAGGTGCTAGTGGTCTCACTTCTGTGATTTTCTTTTTAGCAGTTTATCTGTCGATGTAGCTCACCCACTTATCATCCACATCTGTTTTCAAAGATACGAAACGAAACAATACGCCGTTGTTACACTTCGGTCTGGATGGGAGTGCTGGCCAGTGTAGAAAAGTTATTCGATTAAGGCAATATCAGTGGCTGTCATCTGTGGCCAGTTACAGAAGACCACCGAAACGCGCTTCTGCTATTTTTCTGTAAAACGGAACTGATCACAACTAAACTGTGCCATGTAGACTGTAGCGAGTATCCGAAGCCTGGACGAAGTACTCTCACGAGACCGGATAGAAGAACTATAGGTTAGGAAATCTATACCATGCGCACGGTTTGGACAGAGGAAATAAAACCTAAATTCCTATTCCTGTAGTTCTATAATTCGAACTAAAAACGGCAAACAACTTACGAATAGGTTTACAACCGTGATGGGAAAGTGCAGACACTGGAAGACGTGCGATGAGGTGCGTTAACGGTACAGCGTAGCAGTTTGCTAATCGGCGGTTTGTTAAAGATGAAATACTTAACCTTAAAGAGCCAAGGAAATGCGAATGGGGTGAAGTAAAAACGTACGAAGACTGGTGTAAGAAACTATGGCTATACACCCTAGCTTATGGTTAACTGCTGGTTGACCTCATCATGACGCGCCGGATATTACATCTCGGTGAATATCCCATGTTGAGGCCGCTGCTGCATTTGCGTACACCAAGCTGCACACGAGGACATCGGTACAAGCTTGTAGTACCGGATTTGAAGCGGGTCGCCAAGCAACTCTGTTTCGAACGGCGAGTGATGGATGTATGAAAGAACCAGCCGCAGCACGTGATTGAGGCAAAGTCGGTGTTGGAATTTAAGAAATTCCTGGACAAACACTTTGCCGATATGAAATATATATATCGGGTCTTTCTCCCCGAGTGATATTAGATGCAGCTACACAGAGATATCTCTTCTTGCTGTTTGCAACCAGTAATCAGTAATAATGCGGATGTTCGAAGCAAGCATGCGTAGATTTCTGTAAGGAACTAAGGGAAATGTTTTCGAAATTGAATATCATGTGCTCAAATATTCACTTCAGTTTGGCTGAATAATCATAATTTTCTTTGGACTTTCTACGTCACCAGTACACGTTAGCCGACAGCGAGACGCCTTAGCTAGTGTGTCGCAATACAAAATAGATTAAATACTTCAGACTAGAACAGCTAAAAATAGTAGCATAATGTTACACTCACATTATGCATTGGGTTGAGATTGTTGTTGAAGGGGGAAGCTAAAGAGGAAGGGAAGGACAAAGAGACTCACAACACAAACGCCATTGAGATCGGCCCTTCGTCATGTCGGTTACTGTATCCAACCGAACGTATTCATCTTCCTTCGGACTGGAGCTGTCGGGAAACACCAACGGACATCAAGTTCGAAGTGAAGGATTTCATTACTCTAAACTAAGTCATGGATTGGCCTCCCCTTCCAGACCCCGGGCGCGCAAACAATGCACGATACGGGAGTCGATGTGCTGGCATATTCAACATGTGGCCGGATTTGGCACAGACGGCGATCTATCTAATATCCGGATGGTTGTCCGATGGCCGTTTTGTCCATCCGGACAGTGTCTGATCTGTGGAAACTGTCAAGAATCCAAGCACGATCTAGCGCTGCGTGACAGTCGCTCCCTATATTTTACCATGACACGTATTTCCTGCTACCTTGATTAATGGAGCAATTGAACCGTTTTTCAAAACATCTGAAAAGCCAGGGAAATGCGGTGCCTGTTGCTTGATCCAACGAAAGTTTCTCATTAGTACAGATGTAAGCATTCCTCTCACGATGTTGTGGGGACTGGTATGTGCACTGTTTGCTTCGGGTTTATGTCATCACTCCATGGGTACTGTCCATGTCACGTATTGTAGCTATGTTGGTGCATCATCAGATTGTCTTTCGAATAATGGTAAAGTTGGGGAGTTGATATTTGAGACATTTGGAATCCGTTCCATGACTGGCACTCGGAAGGGAAAAGGTTTCGTCTACATTCCAGGCGTCTGCTGTGCATGAGCAACTCACGGTGATGACCCTGCAGGTCTCGTCTGATTTTCAAAAGTTGATGGCAAGCGTCTGTGTTCACACGCAGGGCACTCTCCATTTTCGCTCGTGCTCCCGTTGAAGTCAACTGTGATGACTTCCACTTCCTTGTTACGGCTTCGCACTTAACTGCTATCTTCTGTTCAAACAGCTTTGTCACTGTAAGGATATCTCATCCTCTGTTTCATCGTCTCACTGCCTTGTGGCCATTAGTTGTGAACATGTTTTGGTTTTGATGAACCAGTAATAAATAGGGGAGTTACCTAAAAGCTTCTTTATCACCGTTTTCTGCAGGGTGAAAACAGCCTGCGACCACGAATTTCATGCCGCTGTATGATCACTGATGTGTTATTCTTCTTGCTTGTTTGCTCTCAGCGTTGCGCTGCACAGCCGAGTTCCTCTTTGCTTCATCTTTCCGAGTATCTATCGAAACCTGAGAATTTGTACTTGGCGTCCAATTTAGCAATTCGACTGCCAGGCCCCAAGGACGCTATCCGTAACTGCTGTGATTGGTAGTTCACTTTGGACAGGGCTCACCCACTGAATGGTTAGATCGAGGTACACTGTCTTACCTGGTCTCTAGCTTTACTTCGATCATCCGAACAATTGGGTTCACTCTCAGCTGATCGCTTTCTTTATTTTTTTCATATTGCGATGACCTGATCTATGATTGAGCCTAGTCCTGACCGGGTTCGTGTATCGCAATATAAACCAAAATGAACCATTGTCCAGCGTTCTGACGCTCCTTCCAACTTAAGTTAACGGGTAGTCAATAATTCCACGAGACTGAACCTTAAAGTGGTGCGACGGTTTGCGTACCTCATTGACCCATTGAGCTATACTGGGTGATGCCTCCGGGCACCTTGAGAGCTACTCCTACCAGGTTGGTCAATGGTGAGAGGTCAGACAAACTCAGTCTCCTGGTCCTCCAGGTTGGGGGTTTGAAATGGGATGACGTCCATTTCTGTAAAACTAAATCACTGCCACCCTGCTGCCTTGCAGACA